GATAATTTTCATAATTGATTTCTCATCTCATTTGTATCACTGTTTTTATTACCTCATATCAGTTATTTAGGAGTTTATCTTTTCCAATAGGTTGTGAACTCTAACACCCTTTAATATAGTATTTTTCTCACATTGCCCACCTTTTTCCCTGCATTACCAATGTAATATATGCACATAATATATACTCAACAAGTGTTGAATTTTGACTCATCCTGGTTATGCATATTCCTGAGAATTCTTGAGAGGAACACCCATTCCCAAGAGACTTTGTGGATGGAAATTTATGACTTGTTCACACATTGACAACTTCCTATTCAGAAAAGATATTTTTTTACTGCCCAAAAATGTTATGGCATTTTTCTTAATTTTAGTTAATTTTGTATAAAAGAAGTTCCTATATAATGATTAATTCTTAAGATTGTTTTGTACATTGTTAAGTCAGAAACTGAAGAGGCTGGGCGCAGTGGCTCACGCCTGTAATCCTAGCACTCTGAGAGGCCGAGGCGGGAGGATTGCTCAAGGTCAGGAGTTTGAAACCAGCTTGAGCAAGAGCAAGACCCTGTCTCTACTAAAAATAGAAATTAATTGGCCAGCTAAAATATATAGAAAAAATTAGCCAGGGATGGTGGCGCATGCCTGTAGTCCCAGCTACTCGGGAGGCTGAGGCAGGAGGAATTTGAGATTGCTGTGAGTAGGCTGACACCACTGCACTCTAGCCTGGGCAACAGAGTTCAGACTGTCTCAAAAAAAAAAAAAAAAGAAACTGTGAAGAGTCTGAGTTGTTGCCTTACTTGTCAGCTAGCAAATTAGCCAGCCATCATTTTACATATATATTCTGCCAGAGGATAGGAAGATTTTTGAATCAGAGAAACAAATAGTTTATTATTCACAGCATCCATTTTCTAATTCATGAATAACTCGTTTCACCCAGAAACTGGAAATTCCCACATTCCAACAAATTCCCACATTCATAAGACTGAGCAACCTGTTCCGTCAACCTTGAGGTGTGCCACTAAATCTTCACTCTATAATGCTCTAATTTCAAACTCTCTTCCTTGATCCCTAGGTTTTTCTAATATCATTATTCTAAAATAATTATTCTAATTTATTAACATAGATAAATGATCTCTGTGACGATAAAGCTTTTTAAATTAAGCTTGTTCTATTTCTAAGGAAAGACGATTATTTTAAACCACTCTATTAAATAATGGCACCAAATTATTCATGGTTAATTAGAATCCAGGATTGACATAATCACATTATTTACATGTTTAAAATCTGCCTACAGATGTTTTTGTTTTGAAAAAAAGATTTCTGTTGATAAACCACCAGTTTAGCATCAACTCCAAATCTGCTTTAGGGTCAAAAAGACCAAAAAAAAAAAAAAAATTCATGATTGTTTATAAGTCAGAGCCAATTTGGACTAAACTGAACAAAATGATCTGACATAGACTGAGCTCAGCACCTGTCACAGCTGATGTAACCTCAGTACCTGCAAGAAATTAAAATAGTAATGCTTGTTACAGTTTGCATATTGGCACTTGAAAAGATTTATCCCATCATAAAAAATATATGCTAGACAGAGTTTAGAAGAGAAATTATTATTTCTGTTCCTCAGGGATGATTTTAACTAGTTTATCTTTGAATATGGCTATTTATATAGATAATATATACGTTATATATTTAGAATACATACATATATAAGTATGCATACATCTAATAAGGTATATAACTCAGTTTGTTGTTTTATAGACGTATATTTGGTATTAAGAGTTTAATTGTCTCAAGTAGCTCTCTGACCTTGATTTTTTTCATATCATAATGAGCTACAAGACTTTTTAACTGAGTAGTGGATGAAAGTAGCCAGTTTTATATTAATAGTATTTATGATTTTGTTTAATTTGTTATGTATAGTTTGTTTTCCCCACTAGAGTAGTGGTAAGAGGGCAGGGATCTTATTTGTCTTACACACGTATTCCACAGTAGCCCTCAAACACTGGCTCAATGAGTGAGTGGATATGCAAATATGCCAACAAGTAACCTTTTAGGATTCTATATTTGAATCCCATTTCAGTAGATACTTGGTATCACTTCTGTTTTGCATATTATACTTAAGATCACGTAACCATAGATCTCAGTGACTTTGGAAAAAAAGAAAGAAAAGGAAAAACACTGAAAGGACACGGAAAGCAAACGCCTGACTTGGAATCCCAGTCCTCTGTGTGTTAGCTGTGTGGTCCTCAGCTCCCTCCTTTATAAAACAGATAATGGCATGAGATGGAAAGCATCTAAAACCTAAAGGTTAGGTGATTCTAACTCCTGACAAGGAGTGGTAGTACTGTTTATTAGTAGCTGAGAGTATGAATTATATTGTGACGTCCATAGGTTATGTAGGAAATACATCATTTTACCAAATAAAATTTTATTATGAATACAATAATTATAAAATTATGTCAGAAGTTAGAGAAATCCATAAATACATTTACATTACCATAGTGTTATTTTTTAAGATAAGATTTATTCAATTTACTAAGAATACATTTCCTAGATTTTTGGACAAGAACATCTTATTCCAGTATTTGCTAAAGTGTACCTAATTTTCCAAAAAAGCTAAAGCAAATCTTGCCTATGTCTGGCTAGAATGTAAGAGCATGAAAGCAGTGGCTGGCCTTCAGAGGCTTGGCTTGAGCTCCAGGAGCCCTGGAGTGAAGTTTGTTTTATTGGAATAATTTTGTAGATCATAGAGAATGGTTTTTTTTTTTTTGAGACAGAGTCTCACTTTGTTGCCCAGGCTAGAATGAGTGCCGTGGCGTCAGCCTATCTCAAAGCAACCTCAAATTCCCGGGCTTAAGCAATCCTCCTGCCTCAGCCTCCCAAGTAGCTGGGACTACAGGCAAGCGCCACCATGCCTGGGTAATTGTTTCTATATATATTAGTTGGCCAATTAATTTCTTTCTATTTATAGTAGAGACGGGGTCTTGCTCTTGCTCAGGCTGGTTTTGAACTTTTGACCTCGAGCAATCCGCCCGCCTCGGCCTCCCAGAGTGCTAGGACTATAAGTGTGAGCCACCGCGCCTGGCTGATCACAGAGATTAGTGTCTGAGTTTTTAAATGTATTATTTAGTGTGTGTATGGGGAGAGAAGTAACTGGAAAAAAGTTAGACTTTTAAAAATCATAACATTCTCTAAATAGTGAGTATGAAGTCCAGTGTCCTTCCAGTCAGTAGAACTTATTACTTCCTCATCAACTATAATTTAAATTTATATTTCTAATTTAGCTTGAATTTTGTGAGGTCCAGTTGTATTCAGTGTTGAGCAGTACATTGAGTACCTTCAGAAGCCATAGTTATAACAAACAGGATTTAAATAAGGTGGTCTTGTCATAGAATACAAAATAAAGATTTCCTCCTTTTATTCATGTGGCTTTGAGAGGTCTTTACAATGGACAAAAATCCAAGAAACTAATGGGAAAAGTGAAGAGTTTTCAATTCTGTGTTTCAGGAGTGAAAATAGTAATTTTTGTAAATCACCTGAGCTGCATTCATTACAAATGGTACCAGGCACTTAGTAAAAGTGCAAATTATGTTTTAGACAAAATATGGAATTTTCCAGCACTTAAAGTAAAGTACGTCAAAAATGCTTCATTGCTATGATTAAGGATGTACATTATGTCTCTTTTGCAGAACTCAACCTTCATAGAATTGTTTTATCCTAGGGAATACTAAAGATATTTTTCTGAAATATAAGGAATGTTCAAATAGTGGCTTTGTAACTTTTTCATATGACTTGAGCACCCATGGTAATTTTGCATTACTGGAGTAATTTTTTTACATTTCTAAATTTTATTATATAATGATTAGTTTAGAGCATCTGTATTTAAAAATAAATGCTAAATGAAATGTACTTATTTACTTACTTTAAAAAGAAAAATAGCTATAAAATTTTCCCCTTCATCTTTTGTAAAAATACCTACTTCAGAGGGTCCTATACTGTACAATAATATTTAATTTAAAAATCATCAAGAAATAATTACCATACCTAGCCTTAATTATACTGTTATCTTTTAAACTTCTTTAAGATTTATACATCTTATCTGGGGAATTTATTTCCCTTAGGCCCAATAAAATAATATTTAACCTCAAAATTACAATTTACTTGATTTTAAAATACTTAGAAAAAGATTATATAATCTTTTTAAAAAACCCACAAATGTCTAAATGGCATATGAAATGTAGATTGTCTTTTTAAAATAGAAACAAGGTAGTTTTATGGTAGTAGGTTTGCCACAGCAGCACTGCGGCAGGCGGCTCCGTCACCACTCACGCTCAGCTAGCTACCTGCAGCTGTTGCTTTAGTGGTGTGGTTTCTTCAGTCCTGGAAGCATCAGTCCTAGGACTGCACAAGTTGACAAAGTTTCTCATATATATCTAGCCCTTTGCGTCAGCCAGGAAAGCAAATATGTACTACTTATATAATTCTTCACTTTTGTGGGGAGTAAAAAGGTCACAAATATTTTAAATATATATATATAATTTCCTCACTATTTTGGTCTTAGGATATAGTCATAGTTTCCACAAGTAGCAAGTTTGGATTTCTTTTTGCTTTACCCTAGGCAAACTGTAATTTACTTATGTTTTAAAATTGGGTACAAAGGATGATTAAAAGACATAAGTATCTGTATATCTAAAATAATCAGCCTTTGGGCCAGGCACAGTGGCTCACACCTGTAATCCTAGCACTCTAGGAGGCCCAGACAGGAGGATCACTCAAGGTCAGGAGTTCGAAACCAGCCTGAGCAAGAACAAGACCCCATCTCTACTATAAATAGAAACAAATTAATTGGCCAACTAAAAATATATAGAAAAAATTAGCCGGGCATGGTGGCGCATGCCTGTAGTCCCAGCTACTCGGGAGGTTGAGGCAGAAGGATTGCTTGAGCCCAGGAGTGTGAGGTTGCTATGAACTAGGCTGACGCCACGGCACTCTAGCCTGGGCAAGAGTGAGACTCTGTCTCGAAAAAAAAAAAAGCCTTCTTTTAGTACCCAATTCAAAACAGTATTTTATGTGAAACAACTTATTAGTAAATCTTATAAAATCATCTTTAGATTAATGATTTTAATAACAATATCAAAATGTAAATGTTTTGTATGTAAATGTGTTATAAATTTCTATTGTGTTGTGTTGTGTGTGTGTGTTTTATGGTCAGCAGCCCTCTGAAAAGTAGCACTCTTCATTTTCTTATTTATATTCCTCAGTAATATGTAACATACTATATATTATAAGGATCAAATAAATCTTACAAAGTTACAATCAACTTTAAAATTAATGTCACATTAGCACATTTTATATGGACAATGAAAAGTCACTTTAATTTGATTTTTAAAGGAAACCACTAAAGTCAAATTTAATTTAATCTTTTTTTTAGCATCTTTAGTTCATAAAATGTCTTGACGAAATATGTCTGAAATCCTAAAGGACAGTTCTCTGAACAATACCCAAATTAAAGTTCAATGTCCCAGGACATTGTGTTGTAGCAAATGTTATCCTCAATGCCTGCCTTGTCTAAGTACAAATTGGCAACTAAAAATATTTACATCTTGACTTAGAACTGGAAGCACACATTTCCCATTTATTATCCAAATAATCGAGCAATCCAAAAATATTTCATTAAAGTATCATTAGCAATCATATGGGATGATTTTTAAACAATTATACTTTCAAAAATTGTTAAAACAAAAATAATAAACCTAGATACTTCATTTTCTCTAGGCTCCTATCATGGAGGTCGTTTGTAATCCTTAATTCTGAAGAGCTTCTAAAGACTTAAACCATAAGCCTGAGAGAAGAATGGTCCTCCTCTATGTTCATTATTTGCATCACTAAGTACCTTGCAGATAACAAAGAGTTCAGTGTGATGGTTAGGAGCATGAATCCTGGAGCCAGACCCCCTGCGCTAGAGTCCCAGCTTCACTTTTAGCAGTGTGACTCACGCTAAACCACTTCACCTCTTTGGGCCACAGTTTTCTCACAGTGTTTTGAGTATTGAATAAGTTACTACACATAAAACACTTAGAACAATGTCTGGCATGTAGTTTGGATTCAGTAAATGTTAGATATTATTAATGTCAAGTTACTCAGTTTTTTCCATTGGTTCAAAACTTAAAGGAATTTCTACATTAAAGACTACTAGTTGGCTGCTAATTAATTGCTATTCTTATGTGTATTTAGTATACCAACTGGCTTACATATATATGTGTATGATCTATATTACAAACATATATAGTGCATAATATGGATTTATATATGTATATATATAAACATACATGCATTTGCAAGAGAGAAATACAACAAAAGCATAGTTAAGAAAATACACAGTTAAAAACATTACAATAAATTGAAAAACCTATCCTTAGGTCCAACCTTTCATGATGATAAAAGAACATATTCATCCTTTCAAAAGATCCCCACTTTTATGTAGTTGATAGTTGGGGCTTAGGCTGTTTGCTATTTCTGTTGGATTAATATTTCCTTCAACATGTATTGTTTGTAATACATTCATGAAATAATCTACAGTCTTCCTTAAAACCTGGTACAGTATCAGTTCATATAGTTCGGAGCTTTCTTGCGTTCAGGTCCAAAACTTTGTAATATCAATTTTATGAGACAGTCAATAAACAGCTTGCCAGAAAATAAGTCAAAGGCTTATCTTCTTAAGCATAAGTCATCTTGCCAAGGTAGTTAGCTGGCACATACCCTTTCTTCCCTTGAGCTTCAGCTAACCACCATTCTTTATTTCCACTTAGGTCACAGAATCTAAGTATATGGACTCTTTGGTACTCTTGAAGGCTGAGTTCATGGTCACTCCGCGCTTGAAAAGCATGAACTGCATAGAAAATCTAGATCAAAGAAAATGACATTAATGGGACTGGTACCTAAACATTTAGAAAAACATAATAATTTACAAGCTTTCAGAAGCAATGCTAAAGTTTTCTTATTTTTTTCAAAGTCATATTGTCCAACGTGTTCTGTTGGATTTATTTCTCTAAAATATGACCCAGATGAGAATGGAATGAAACAGGCATTTTTATTATTCTGTTGGGAGGAGTCTGAACTGTCCATGTTTGAAGGCAATTTGACAGTTTCTAATAAAATATCTTTAAAATGTTAATTTTTTTTTAATCAATAAGAGCTCTAAGAATTTCTTCTACAGAAATAGAAACATTGGAAGAGATTTTTGCACAATGTTACTGCAATACCCAAATGAAATGTGACATGGGAAGGGAGTGGGAATAACACTAACAGTTCAGCAAGAGAAAAATAGTTAAATTTTAGACCCTTATACTAAGAAAATTTGTAGTCATTAAAAATGTTTTTTTGTACAATATACGTAACCTTAACATTTGTACCCCCATAATATGCTGAAATTAAAAAAAATAAAACAAAAACAAACAGAAACTCTAATAAATAAATAATTTTTTTTCTGAGACTAATAACATGAGAAATGCTTATGATGAATAGTAAGCCAAAAAAAGGATATATTAGATGTACAAATCTAATATTGTTAGGTAGTTTCTTTGAATCATAGGATTATAGATGATTTTCATTTTTACTTTATTTTCTAACCCTTTATAATGATAGTGTAATACATTTATAATTTTAAAAATTAAGTGACCTAGAAGAAACTAATAAAACATTTCAGTCAAGAGAATTTTTCTCTGACATCAAAAGAACACTATTAGATGTATAAGAAGTCCCAACATAAGTGTTTAATCTTTCTTCCTTCATAAAATCCTAAGACTGAAAAATATTTAGTTATGTTATAAAATTAAGAAATTATCTAACAATATTTATTCAGTTATTTTATGAAATACCTACTAAGTGCCAGATATTATTTAATCAGGGACCTTACAACTCAGGAAAATAAAAAATGTCAACAAACAAAACAAAACAAAAACACTATACAGACACACACAAACACAGCTGTACACATAGATGATACATCAGCTAATGGTAAGCTGCATTTTGAAATAAGTAACTTTTCATAAATGACAAAGTTGACAAAGGGGATGAGTATGTCATATTCAAACAAACAAAGATGAATACATGAAAATAATATACAGGAAAAGACAAGCAAATGAGTTCAAAATTGAGGGTCAATGGATAAAGGAAACTGAGAAATGAGGTGACTTCATTGAGCAGGAAAAGAGGCTGGACAGTGAAGGGAGGGAACAATAGTTGCAGCTTAGGTTGTTATTTGAATCTTCAACTGTTATTTAACTTTTGATGAACTTCTGATTCTATTGATTGGTATATCGACTTAATTAGTATGAGCTGCACCTCAAGGAAAGGACCACATTACTATGGTCTGAATATTTGTGTCCCCCTCAAAATTCATTTGTTGAAATCCTAACCCTCTGGCAAGCACCTGTAGTCCCAGCAACTTGGAAGGCTGAGGCAGTAGGTTTGCTTGAGCCCAGGAGTTCGAGGCTGCAGAGAGCTATGATGACACCACTGTACTCTAGCCTTGGTGACAGAGTGAGACCCTATCTGGAAGGAAGGAAGGAAAGAAGGAAGGAAGGAAGGGAGGAAGGGAGGGAGGGAAATCCTAACCCTAAAGGGATGACATTAAGAGGTGGGGTCTTGGGAGGTGATTAGGCTCCGCCCTCATGAATGGAATTAGTTCATGAGGGAGTCAGAAGTCTGCGAGAAACCTGTCATCTGTTCCATCATGGGAGGGCCCCACAGGAAGGTGCCACTTATAAAACTTGGCCCTCACCAGACACAAAATAAGCTGTTACCTTGATCTTGGACGTCCAGCCTCCACAACTCTCCGAAATTAGTTTCTGTTGTTTAAAGCCAACAAGTTTATGATATTTTGTTATAGCAGCCCAAAAGCACTAGACTCATGTTTAATCTTTTCTCCACTGACCACATCATGGTACACAGTAGGAATTCAAATACATGTTGATTTGCCTTAAAAGTTAGGCTAAAAGGCTTGGATATCTTACAAGGGATCATGCAAGAAATCTCTTATATAAGATACAAGAGAGACTGCTAGAAATGGATTATTTTGTAATTTAATCACAGGGCTAATCTGTGCTGCTAGGACCCGTATCTTCTAACTCCAAATCCTGTGCTTGGTCAATTTCTTATCATGCTTTAGGAACCAAACTCTTGTTCTAGCAAGGATGTGCAGAGTGGGATTCTTACGGAAAGGAACTGGAGTCTAATATGTTGTTGATGCTGTTGTTTTGTTATTTATTAATAGAAAGTGAAAACATGCAATAGATCCATAAGAGCAGAGCAAAGGATTTGGTTTACAAAACCATTTAGGAATGAGATGTGCTATAATATAGTTTCTGAAATAATCTGTAAAAGCCTGGAAGCAGTTTGCTAACAATCTTTTGTAATTTTCATAAATAATATATATGCTTTACCAAGGCAGCTATAGATTTTTTCAGCAGGTTGGAAAAAATATATTCCCAATACTTTAACGCAGCGGTCCCCAACCTTTTTGGCACCAGGGACCAGTTTCATGGAAGACGATTTTTCCATGGACTGGGGGTGGAGGGAGATGGTTTCGAGATGCTTCAAACACATTACATTTATTGTGCTCTTTATTTCTCTTATTATTACATTGTAATGTATAATGGAATAATTATACAGTTCACCGTGATGCAGGATCTAATGCCACCACCACGGACCGACAGGAGGCAGAGCTCAGATGACCCTGCGAGCACGGGGAGCGCGCAAACACAGACCAAGCTCCCCCACCCCGCTCACCTCCTGCTGTGCCGCCCTGTTCCCAACAGGCCACAGACCTGTGCCAGGCCTCAGCCTGGGGCTCGGGACCACAACTTTAGATGATCATGGCCAAAATTTATTTAGGATGAGCGTTTTTCAATTTTCATGTAATTTATGTTAAATGGAGGCAGTTATTATATACTAAAAATGGAAGTAAGTCTACTTTTAAAGAGACAGCATTCGCTTTATCTTTAGTCTCTTTTTGAAGTCTTTTTCTTAAGTCTCTTTTGAGTATTTTTAGTCTCTTTAATGTTAGACTACAAATTAGATGTTTTCAACCTGTCATGGATTTAAGAACTGAAAGAATTCTCTCTTTTTATTTTTTTTCAATATTTTAATTGTTTTAGGCTGTATGTTTCTTTTTTTTTGAGACAGAGTCTCACTCTGTTGCCTGGGCTAGAGTGCCATGGTGTCAACCTAGCTCACAGCAACCTCAAACTCCTGGGCTCAGGCAATCCTCCTGCCTCAGCCTCCCAAGTAGCTGGAACTACAGGCATGCGCCATTATGCCTGGCTAATTTTTTCTATATATTTTTAGTTGGCCAATTAATTTCTTTCTATTTTTAGTAGAGGCGGGGTCTCGTTCTTGCTCAGTCTAGTTTCGAACTCCTAAGCTCAAATGATCCTCCTGCCTCGGCCTCCCAGAGTGCTAGGATTACAGGCATGAGCCCCCTTGCCCAGCCTCAGGCCGTATGTTTCTAACTTTAAATGTTACTATGTTTTGGTCTAGACACATTAATTAAAATGTTATTAATTTGAGTCATAATCATCTAATACTATTTTCTTTTTCCTTGGCATTTATTAAAATACGTTTTATTGATTGTATTCTGTAAAGCACTGGCTCATTTTATATGCCATATGCTGTAAATACAACTCAGTTCTCCGTGGCATTTACTTTTTTTTTAAAATAACACTCTGTATTATTGACTCATACCTAATTTATTATCTGCTGTTTATAACCACAGATCTTTCCCTGTGGCACCTTCGCCTGGTCAGCATCCCCTTATTCTATATTTGTGCATTTGATTTTTCCTTCTTTAGTGAGCCACATTACCTGTCCTCACTGAATCTCATTTTATTGATTTCATCCCAGTTCTCCAATTAACAACAAAAACCATAATATATTTTAATCTTCATTTCCAAAACTAAAAAGCTACAATGTCAGCATTTATAGTATTATATCACATGCAGCTCAAGAAGCCAGAATAGTTATAGTACATGAAAAATACTCATTTTTCTCTCTTATCTTTCAGGAGCAAGCTTTCATGTTCTTCATATAACAATTCCACATTTTTATTATACAAATAATTTTGATGAAGAAACAATTTAAAGCTAGGCAAAAATAAAAAAACAAAGAAAACAAAAAAGAAAACTCACTGATGTTAGTATCTTCCTTCCCTCACTCCCTTCCTCCTTTCCTTCTTTCTATTTTTTTATTTCTGCATGCCTCCCTGAAGTGGTAATAAAAGTGGACTTACAGTATAATAATTTTTGCCACCTGTTTTTCACTTCAGAATATATTTGAAAATCTTTCCATGTCAATAAATAGCTCCCCAGAGCATCATTTTAATGATTACTTAAATGCATTATAATACAGCTTGTTGACTTTTTGAAGCATTTTTCTAAACAGTGACATACTACATATGTAACATCATTGTCACAAGTAGCTGAGAGAGTAAAGATGAAGGTCCAGACCATGAACTTGGGATTGGTAGCAAAACAACTAACTTTTTAGAAGTCAAACATTATATTTTCAATATTATTTATGCGAAAAAAGAAAAAAGGGCCGGGCGTGGTGGCTCACGCCTGTAATCCTAGCACTCTAGGAGGCTGAGGCGGGCGGATCGCTCAAGGTCAGGAGTTTGAAACCAGCCTGAACAAGAGGTAGACCCCGTCTCTACTAAAAAAAATAGGAAGAAATTAATTGGCCAACTAAAAATATATAGAAAAAATAAAAAAGGAGCTGGGCATGGTAGCACATGCCTGTCATCCCAGCTACTCAGGAGGCTGAGGCAGGATTGCCTGAGCCCAGGAGTTTGAGGTTGCTGTGAGCTAGGCTGACGCCACGGCACTCTAGGTTGGGCAACAGGGTGAGACTCTGTCTCAAAAAAAAAAAAAAAAAAAAAGGAAAGGAAAAGAAAAAAGCACTGACTTTTTTTTTTTTTTTGAGACAGAGTCTCACCCTGTTGCCCAGGCTACAGTGAGTGCCGTGGCATCAGCTTAGCTCACAGCAACCTCAAACTCCTGGGCTCAAGTAATCCTCCTGCCTCAGCCTCCCAAGTAGCTGAGACTACAGGCATGCGCCACTATGCCCGGCTAATTTTTTCTATATATTTTTAGTTGGCCAATTAATTAATTTCTTTCTATTTTTATTAGAGACGGGGTCTCGCTCTTGCTCAGGCTGGTTTTGAACTCCTGACCTTGGCGATCCACCCGCCTCGGCCTCCCAGAGTGCTAGGATTACAGCCGTGAGCCACCGTGCCCAGCCAGCACTGATTCTTAGATATTGAACTGCCCTGTAAAACTGGGTTTTAGCCATTCTTAAACCTGGTTCTCTTTGAGAAGTGCTAACAACAACACTGTGCTTGCCAAACAAGGCCTGTTAGATGTTTCGGGTGAGCAGAATTCTAGGAAGGCCCCCCAGAACCCCCACCTCTTTTGTACATGTTGTATATAATCCTCCTCCCTTGACTGTGGGTGGAACTTTCTGATGTGACGACATGGTACTCCCGTGATTAGGCTGCATGATATGGTAAAGGTAAAGAGATTTTGCAGAGGTTCCCAAAAGGTCCCTAGGAAGTTGACTTTGGGGCCGTCATAAGGAGAGCATCCTGGGGTGGGCCTGACCTAATCAGATGAGACCTTTAAAAGAGCATTCAGGCCAATCCTGATGGAAGAGATTTGAAGTGAGAGTGATGCTCATCTATTGACCTTGAAGGAGCAAACAGCCACGTTGTAAACTGCCTGTGGAGACAGCCACATGGCAAGGATCTAGAGCAGCCTTTAGTTGCTAAGAGTGGTCCGAGCTGACCACCAGCAAGGAAGTGGAAGCCTCGGTCCTACTGGAATGAGGAAGTGAATTCTGCTAACAACCATGAGCTTAGAAGAGAATTCCCAGTTTCAGACAGGAATTCAGCCCAGTAAACACCTCAATTGCAGCTGTGTGGGGTCCTGGGCAGGTCCCCAGGCAAGCCTCGCTTGGGAGCTGACCACAGACACCGTGAATATGACTTTGTATCGTTTTAAGCCACTAAGTTTGTGGTGATTTTTTATGCAGCATAGAACACTAATACAGATCATTCCATTACTATTTGATGCACAAAAGGAGAGAATATATTAGGGTGAAAAGGCATATTCATTTGACTGCTTTTGTTAAACTCTTTGATACAGCTAAAAGCAGCAAGTGACTAACTTAAATATTAAGTCCCTTGGTGTAGATCAGTACTGCCAGGCTATGAATATTCTACAAAGGCTCTGGATCATAATTTAGGGAGGCTTTTATAACACCCAGAGAAAGTCCATGCTTTCCGTGTGGATGTTTATGAAGGACCCTAAGTGGATTTGTTCCAGGGCCCCAAAAGGTAGGATGGCATTCCTCCCAACTTTATCTGTCACAGTCTTTCTCCCAGTAAGCACTCTCTTTCATTAACAAAAGTGTCCCATTAAAGATGGTGAGTTTTATTTTGACTCCACCCATGAGACTTCCTGATTCACCAGAACCACCCTAGAAAATGAGGGAGGCTCATCACCTAACAACATTTCTTCCTGCTTGAGGGGGAGAATTAATAAGCAAGTTAAGTCTCTATAGCAGTGATTTCTAACGTTTTTAGATAAAATTTTCTTTGAAAATCTGTTGAAAACTATGGACTTCTCTCACCATAGATTTGTACATATGCAAATAATCACAATATTTCCAACACAGTTGAGGGTATTCATGAAACTCCCCAAAGCCATTCACAGCCCCCTTTGCTTCTTGGAGTCCAGGTTAAAAACTCAGCCCATGTATAAAAATCCCAGAGCCTCTAGAGTCTAAATCAGTATGAAATCGTTTCTTTGTGAATGATCTTTAAAGCCCCAAAGATGCCCCTAGATATCAGGTACATGCTGACTCCCCATCCCCCTGTCCTTTCTTGTCAGGGTCCATGAGAACCATCAACAAGACAAGATTACAGCCTACAGCACCCCTTGGCGATGTGCTGTTGCAATTCTGAAGGAAAGCAAAAGAAGCACTGCCACAGTAGGAAGGGGAAGAAATGGTGACCCAGACTGGCATCCCATTCTGCCAACACAGGTTTCAGTTGATGTTCCTGGAAATAAATAAAGTAAAATAAAATAAAGAATAAAAGTCTAAACAGCCACATTGAAAATTGCTCTGTAGGGTACTTCAAATGTGAGATATTACAATGTGAAAAATATTTTTACTATTCAAAAAGATGATACAATGCATTCCTATTTTTAATCACCTTATAGGAACTGATATAATGTATTTTCTCTTTGTCACATCACAAATATAGGGGGTTAACAATTCTCTTCTCCCTACAGAGCTAATAGAATGGAAATAATAGCAGCCCTCTGGCAAGGATTATGAAGATAATACAATCCCTTCTCTTTCTTTTTTTTTTCCTTCGAGACAGGTTCTCACTCCATGTGGAATGCGGTGGAACTGCTAGGTTCAAGCCACCCTTCTGCCTCAGCCTCCCGAGTAGCTGGAACTACAGGTGCTTGCCACTCTACCTGCCGGTTGTTTCAGACAGGGTCTTGCTATGTTGCCCAGGCTGGCGTCACACTCCTAGCCTTAAGCAATCCTCTCCTTAACCTCCCAAAGTGCTAGGGTTACAGGCATTAGCCAGCACACCTGGCTTCTTTTTCTTTGTTTTTACGGGATGAAGACTAGATGCATTGTCGGAGGAGTCTGAAAACCACTGGCTCATGTGCCTCTACTGGATGGAGTTAAGACATTAAGGAAAGTATTTCTATGTGTCCTTTTCTTCTTTTCTCCCTGTACTGGCATTTCCAACAGGTACACCCTCTACTTTCCCTTGTAGTAAATTTATTGGGACAGTCTTTGCTCACCCACAGGCGAGGCCTTCAGTTTGAGCTGGGTAATTTCTACTCTGAGGGAAGGCATAGGAAATTTCATGTGGACACAGATCCAAGATGCATTTTCAATCCAACTTTATCAGTAATAAGGCTTATATTCATATCCCTGATACCATGGCCATTTTGAATTGGCTCCAAACTCAGAGGAAAAGGAAAGCAAATAACAGTTTATAGAGAGATACTATTAATATATTTTCTGTTTTGAGCAAAGAAAATTATCTTTTTTTCCCTCTCTTGGTAATGGCAATCTGTCATAGACCTAATTTACATGATACATATTGAGAGGGTTACCTGGAGAGAACTGCTTTGCAGTACCAGCCAGTAGGAACTAGACTGATGAGGTCTCACACTATGAATTCCAGGCTGAAAGAGCCTCTATGAGGTGCTCAGCCCAAAGTCCTTAGAAAGCCAAGTAAGAAGTAGAACTTTACATCAAGCCAGTGCTTTAAGGTGTCTTGACAAATTTGGTCCTCAGATTTCTTTCCTTCTAGGTTCTTGAGATTAGGCAAAGTCTGCCAGAACATTTAACCATGTATATAGACTTCACTGATTAAATTTACTGATTAGTTAGCATTATAATACAACGTGTCCTCTAAGGACTCTGAATAAACTAAGAGCACGAACCAGTAACAGAGTAACAGTGTTTTGAAACTTCAAATAGAAGAGTGATAACACATAATGACCAGGAGAGTTAAGAGTCAGTCATGCCTGGAAGAAAATATTTACAATTTATGCATCTGATAAAGAACTTGCACTGAGTTTCTAAAGAATTCTTATAACTGAAAAAATAAAGGAAAATTACCCAATTTTTAAAAATTGGCAAAAAATATTTAAGGGGAGTATGACAATGTCAATGAAGACCTTAAATATATATTCCCTTGACCCTCCAATATTTTTAGCAACTTACCCTGCAGATATACTCCCTCTTTTGGCACCAGGGATTGGTTTCATGGAAAACAATTTTTCTACGGACCATGGCGGGGGTTGATTTCAGGCTGATTCAGGTGCATGACATTTACTGTGCGGTCAGACCTCTCTGCTGACGATAGCCTGTGTTTGCAGCCGCTCCCTAGCACTAGCATCACCGCCTCAGCTCCACCTCGGATCAGCAGGCGTCAGATTCTCATACGGGGCAGCAACCCAGATCCCTCGCTTGCTGCGCAGTTTACAGTAGGGTTTGTGCTCCCACGAGAACCTAATGAGCCCCTGACCTGACAGGAGGCGGAGCTCAGGCGGTGGTGCGAGGGATGGGGAGCGGCTGCAAACACAGACGAAGCTTTGCTCACTTGCCCTCCACTCACCTCCTGACAGGCCAGGGCCTGGTACTAGTCCACGGCCCAGGGCTGGGGGCTGCAGCCTTACGGTACGATAGAATGAAGTCAGGGAAAGAGTCTTTCATGATTTCAACAACCAAGTATTTTTACACCAAGGTTCACATTTTTACCTGTTCATCCACTGCTTGAAAACTGTCAACGCTGGTGCCGTTTGTTTCCAACTTTCCACCCGTGCCGCTGAGGGACAAGCTGCCGGCACCTGTGCTGCTCTCCGGGGTGCCGGTGACGCCGCCACTGGCCAGGCGGGAGGACACAAAGAGGCTGATGTTGTCAAAGTCATCATCGCAGAACCTGCTCTCTGCATCCACTTTCTGCATTTTTGCTGGATTATAGGGTTTCAGGAAGGAGGAATACACATATCCTTTTACAACTGGATAGAAAATACAAAGAAAGCAGAACCAAAGTCACAGGTACACTCCTCCCAAAGGTGTGTACACAGAGGCCCTGGGGGAAGTTTCAATTTAAAGAGCATTGGAGTTCTAGAAAAAGACTTACTTCCTGTGTCAACAAGCCACCTGCCTATACTGCCCAGTGGATCTTTCTGTTCCATCACAGCCACCAGCTCTCCTTCCAGAAGGCCGATGTCCAAGTCCTGTGTAGCATTGCACCTGCGCTTAGCTTGATAAAGTTCCCCTGCGTGGTATGTGGATAGAAGTTTGGAGCGGTGAGCGTCATTTTGACGTGGCATTTCTGGCTGGGAGAAGCAAGGAGAAGTTTTGGGTTAGATAGATGTACAAAAAATCCTTTCTGCATTGATAAATATTTTTTCTCTGGAGATGTTTTGTTTTGTTTTTTTTTTTGAGACAGAGTCTCACTTTGTTGCCCAGGCCACAGTGAGTGCCGTGGCGTCAGCCTAGCTCACAGCAACCTCAAACTCCTGGGCTCAGGCGATCCTCCTGCCTCAGCCTCCCGAGTAGCTGGGACTACAGGCATGCGCCACCATGCCTGGTTAATTTTTTGTATATATATTAGTTGTCCAATTAATTTCTTTCTGTTTATAGTAGAGATGAGGTCTCGCTCTTGCTCAGGTTGGTTTCGAACTCCTGAACTCAAACGATCCTCCCGCCTCTGCCTCCCAGAGAGCTAGGATTACAGGCATGAGCCACCGCGCCCGGCCTCTGGAGACGTTTTTAAATGTAGAAGCCAGACATTGATTCGGGGTTATTCCAAGGTCAGACTGTTATTGTGAAGCACCCAGCTGAATTATTCAGTGGAAAATTCTCTAGCAAGCACAGGAGGGCAGTGCTATAGAGAAGAAGAAGGCAGAGGCTCTACTCCCTCTAGGGCATTGAGCAACTTTTAACTCTTTGCAGCTCTGTAGATCATCCCTTGCATATTAAGCACTTGATAAATAATATTTAATTCAGCATATGTTCATGTATTTTTCTGGGAAATAACATCAGAAATTAGGCAGGAGTCAAGAGTCCTATACCCTCTCCAGCACTGGTAATACGTGACTTTGAGAAAGCCACTTCACCACTGGGGCCTGGAATGCCTCATCTAGAAAATGAAAAGAGTTGCACAATATAATTTATCTCTACAAAATCTTATTCAACAAACATGACAAATGTGACACACCATTTTAGGCCATTTTAGGGTAGAAACAGATAAGAAATTATACACATAAGTAGGTAAATCATAAGATATGAGAACAAGGTAAGTGACATGGAAAATAATGTGATATATGATTTGAACAAGGCAAAGAGCTGATGCTCATCACCGTCAGGAGCGCTGCCCAACTCACCGGAATCTGCACAGGCTTCTTCTTTTCAAAACTAAGTTTCCTCTCAATAAAGGTGGCGCTGTTGTCTTTTACAAAATTCAGATTTTGAACCTCTTCCAGAAGTCGATTCTGAATCTCAGAAATGCTTGAGACCGGCAGTGACGCCTATAGGTATAAATGATATGGCATTGTTTCCAGAGAGCTAAACAACCTTATTAGGTATTAAATTTAGTAGAGCTATGATAAACAGTTGAGACAGTGTATGATAGGTTCACAGTGAAAAATTAGGGTAACTTTAGAGCTTCTAGATAAAGATAATTTAATTTGCTGTCTCTGGAAATCTCACTAAAATAATAGGACAACTTTTAAAAGGTTAAAGCCTAAATAAAAGAAACACAGAAGAGAAAAAATAAGCAATCGCGTCTTGGAAGAGAGGTCAGGAAGGGAGGGCCGTCGGTCAGATGGTGGCGGGAAAGTGGCTGAGACTAGAGGCGCTGACTGGAATCCTGTGTTGGTTCTCAAAAGAAGACATACAAATGGCAAAAAAATATAGGAATCACTAATCATCTGGGAAATGCAAATCTAAACCACAGTGAGGTAGCATCTCAACCCTGATAGGATGACTATTACCAAAAAGAGAAAAAATAACAAATGCTTGTGAGAATGCAGAGAAAACAGAACTGTTTTGCACTGCTGGTAGGAATGTAAACTAGAACAGTCACTATGGAGAACAGTACAGAGGGTCCTCAAAAAACTAAAATTAGAACTACCCTGTGACCCAGGAATCCCATTACTGAGCATTCGTCCAGAGAAAATCAGTATATTGAAGACACAGCTGCATGGCCATTTTTATTGCAGCAGGATTCACAAGAGCCAAGCCATGGAATTAACCTACCGTGTTTGCCCGAAAATAAGACAGGGTCTTATATTTAGTCTTCCTCAAGAAGACACCCTAGGGCTTATTTTCAGGGGATGTGTTATTTTTTTAAGTACGGTATAACAATGTACATTTATTCAAATATAGTTAAGTTGCCTTCTTCTAGAACATCATCACTCTCCAAACCCTGAATTCCATCCTGAATTTCTTGCGACTCTCTTTCCTTTAGAACCGTTGGTCCCCATCTCTCCTGTAGAGCCATAAAGCTCTCCTGGGGCAGATGAGAAGGGCTGCTCGTGTTCTTTCCCGCCCCGAGACGACATGCATGGGTAGCGCAGACGCGCTGCGCAGCCACGCCGGTCCCCAGGGCTGATTTTCCAGGTGGGGCTTCTATTGCGCAAATGCTTAGAAATCCTGCTGGGGCTTGTTTTACAGGTAGGTCCTATTTTCAGGGAAACACAGAAGGTATTTAACAACAGAAGAATAGACAAAGAAAATGTGCTACTTATAACTTTGACTCAAACTGTACAAAAGCATTTCATGACACCAAAATATTTGTAGCGCCATAATAGTCTGAAATTTTTTTTAAAAAATCATGTCTTTGTTTTGTTTCCTCACCAAAACACTTCTGCAAACTGTAAAGTTTTATCAATACTCCAAGAAATAAGTTGAAATAAAACTGCTATGTCGGACACCAGGGAGGTCCTCCAGGACTTCCAATTCTCCTCTCCTGGTGGGTATGTGGAAAGACGGTCCCCTTGCCTCCCTGATCTCAGGAACGGCTAGGTGACCCGCTTGGCTGATGAAATGAGAGTGCCAGGACATAGGCCACTTCCATGTGAAAGCATTTAGGGATGGGTACAGCATGCCCCGTGCTCTCTCTTCCGCTGCCAAGGTGCACATTTGATAGAGAAGCAATAGTGATGAGTGAGTAAAGTGTCACCTCTCCACACAGTGGAATATTACTTGCCAATGAAAATAACTAAGTCCTGAAACACACTTCATAGTCAATGAACCTTGAAACATTATGCTAAGTGAAAGAAGCTAGTCACAGAGAACCACATATTAGATGACTCAATTTATGCAAAATGTCCATAATAGGCAAATCTGTAGAAGCATACAGTAAATTGATAGTTGCCTAGGGCTGGGATGGTTGGGGAGAAATGTGGATGGGTATAGGGCTTCTTTTGGGGGTGACAACAATGTTCTAAAATTGATTAGGGTGACACTTGCGCAACTCTTGCTAATATACTAAAAATCACTGAATTGTATAGTTTATTTTTAAGTTTTTTTTCTTTTTTTCCCCACTATTAAAGAAGACTTATTAACCATGAATTGTATACTTTAAATGGGTATAATGTATGGTATATAAGTTACATTACAACAAAGTTGTTACCAAAAAAATAGGAGACTGGTTATACATTATTGTACAGCCATACAATAGATTGCTATAAAGCTATGAAAAGAATGAGGAAGCTCTCTATGTACTGACATGGAACCATCCCCAGGATATATTATTAAAAAGCAAATAGCAGAATGATGTATAGAATATGGTAGTCTGGGGTCTTAATTTTAGGAACTAAAAATATATATTTGCATTTGTTTTTATTGGCATACAGGAACCCTAAATGGATAAAAAATAAACTAATAAAAATGAGGGTGGGAGTGGGGGGTGGGATGTAAGGGGACAGAGTAGGTGTGAGACTGCTCACACGCTTTTATATGGTTTTGACTTATGAACCATGTAAATACAGCGTCTGCTTATTCAATTTAATTTAATTCAAAGTATACATTACAGGTTAATTAAATACACAATAGAAAATAAGTAGGGACAATTAATTCTGCCCAGATGTTGTCCACTAAATAGCTAACCAGCTGAATGAGAACTAATATCCTTGAAAGGATGGGGCCAACAAATCAAGCTGATTTTTTTAAAAGTTGATATCAGGTTGTAAATATCTTTCTTCCTCATCAGGAAAATAATTATAATATTCTCATGGGGAGCTAAGGTACACACACACACACACACACACACACACACGCATGCACACACACACACATCAAGCTTCTCTTCCTTGGAGGAAAACAAAAACAAGACAAAGAATGGTTTGCAAGTTATCCTGTCTCTGTCATTATGCTGAGATGGCTTTCTTTTAAAAGCCACATCTTATTTTCTTTTCTCTTTTTCTTTTTTTAAATTTTATTTTATAAATAATTGTTCTTTCTCTTTTCCTTGGACAAAAAGTGTGAGCTAATAAAAGCCACGTCTTAAATAGCCACAGTTAACGTGTAAGAAATGTTCATTGGGAAGAAATACAAAATATACATTGCTGAGCTTCAACGTAGTATCAGGCAGGTAGAGCAAAGGTGTTTGGAACCTGAAAAGAGATCTCCAAGAAAGATCTGCAGATGTGTGAGCCACAGTAAGCCTGAACTACAAACTCTCCTTTAGCTTCCTGTGGGGAAGAGAGCTGAGCGGCAAAAGACCATCTGCCTGGCTTCAGTTAAAGTAAGTCTGCACACACCCCCCACACCACACATGCGCACACTCCAGACGGGCGTGTTTGCCTGGGGATGGTTTCTAGCAGGCCTGGCAGCCCCAGGTGCTGTGCTCACCGGCTCCACTGTGGAGTAAGCCCGCTGTGCCCAGAGCATCAGGTCCCTGAGGAGGGTGAGGAGGCTGCACAGACAGTTCAACAGAATCCCCCGAGCAGCCTGGTTGAACACCTGCAGCTCCTCCACGAGCTGGGCGTTGAGGGCCTCGTATTCCTTTTTGGCCAAGTCCGACTCATCTCCTGCTGACCGCTGCAGGTAGCTGTTGTAGTCCAGCAGTTTGTCGTAGCGTTTCTGGATGAGCTTGTGAGGCCCTGGGAATAAGGACAGCAGGGCTGACAGGGGGGTCAGGACGAGCCTCTGTAAGTGAGCTGCCTGCCAGGAGAGAAAACCATCCCATTACAGAGAAAGGAGCAGCCCCATCCCCTGTGCAGAACTATTCTCGGTAGGCTCACCTCTTCCCTACAGGAGCTCAAGGAAGACCAAGATCATGTGTATGTCTACCTAAACTTATTCAAAGACTTGAAACAGGGTCTCTGTACTGTGACACTGAACCTGAAGAGTGAGCAGGAAGAGGAATACAAAAGTTAAAACCTGCTCACCCAGAATATAACTCCATCCTTTTCTTTATGGCCATTGGTTATGTTATTGGAGTCAACTCCTTTCACTTTCCCCTTCCCCTTCTTTCTCATCTCAGAGCCAAACTGAGCTATTCCAGCACATGGGAGTGGAGGGGTGGTAATCTCCAGTCTTTGACTACCAAGACTGTAAAAGATTCACCATGTCACTCACACCCTTTGTTGGCAACAAAAGGAATATAGTCAATCTTATAGGAGAGTGTACCCTAGTCCTCTCGTATCAGTTGCAAATCCCTAGCTATCTTGGGGACTCATTTTTGGTAGTGGAATTTCATCCCCTACATAGATAGTAGTACCTTAATATAGGTATTTTACTCTTGAGACAGAAATGAGCACAGGATTATAACTTTCTTTTCAAATACATTGAAGGATTAAGCAAAAGCTAGTTTGTATCTTAAATTGTTACATTTTTAGGTCTGAATCATTGAAAATGAACTTCATATTAATGCCCAACCCCATGCCATCACTTGATCATCCTATATTTCATTTCTCCTACTCCTCTTGCCTCTCCCTCTATTCTGAAATGCACTAGTATTCTACGTTTGCTGCCCACCCTCCTTTACCCTTGATCATATATGCTTGGGTTACATGATTACGTTAAGGTAATTTGGAAGTAGGTTTCACTTTTGTACCCCAAAAGATGTCATAAGAAATCAGCATCTGAGCAGTAGCCTGTATTCATTAAATTAAATGGCCCCTGGTAACTTTGAACTCTTGGGAAATCTGGAAGAGGGGGAAGCCAATCTCTTCCTGGCACCAGCAATAGCCAACACAGATTAAATTTGATGTCTAGCTTATGAGATAATCAATATATACCTACAGACTGTTTAATGAATCCCTGACTAAGCAAATAATCTATTTATTGTACCTGGAATGAATTACTGTGTTTGTGACTTGATTGGATTCTACAGGCAATCTAATACAGAATTACAAGATAATCAATATATATATATATCCCCAGTAACTCATAGACATGAACTGATTCACCTGTACATAGGAATTGTGGTTGGAACAAATAAGAATCAGATTTTATTTTAATATTTTGCCCTACATAAAATGTGTAGATAAGTATCGCTCATGATTAGATAAGAACAACTGCTCTGTCTTAGATAGATATTGAATTCTTAATATCTGATTTTTAAAAAGAGTTCTATATATGTTATCCATTACAAAGTTACTTTTATATTGAACTTTCTAATAATTACTTTAATTTAGCCTGATTAATCATCTTGTGGTTTTATGCAAGGTAGGCAGGACACCTCTCTTCTTTCTGCCAAATTCTGGAGCCAGCTTGCTGAAGGAGCAGCTGCATGCCATGCTCTCAGATGGTTCTCAATAAATATTTATTAACTAAATGAATTGGAATGAACCTAAAGAGACTTCTCTTAAGGAATTTTCTAAAATGAGCTCTCTACAATTAAATCCAGAAAATACATAAAGAACTAACTACATTTTTTTCTATCAAACATATGCTGTAAAATCTATCTATCTATCTATCTATCTATCTATCTATCTATCTATCTATCTATCTAATCTACCTACTTACCTACCTACCTGTCCACCTATCCATCTGTGAATCAACCTATTTCTCTATCTGTCATCTCAGTTCAGCTGTAATCCTAACTTTCCATTCCTCAGTGCTGGAAAAACAAAATGCTTCTCCGTGGTTTTCCACAGGGTAAGGGCTGTATCACTTCCTAGGTTTGGAAATATTTGGGCTCTTCCCTGGTTGTCGCAATGACTTGGCAAGGGGGGATGTTGCTGAGATTTTGAGCCTGGTGGGCCAGGATTGCTAAACATCCTCCAATAGAAAGGTCACTCAGGGCCGGGCGCGGTGGCTCACGCCTGTAATCCTAGCACTCTGGGAGGCTGAGGTGGGTGGATTGCTCGAGGTCAGGAGTTCGAAACTAGCCTGAGCGAGAGTGGGACCCCATCTCTACCAAAAATAGAAAGAAATTAGTTGACCAACTAAAAATATATATACAAAAAATTGCTCAAGGTCAGGAGTTCGAAACCAGCCTGAGCAAGAGCAAGACCCCGTCTCTAATAAAAATAGAAAGAAATTAATTGGCCAACTAATATATATAGAAAAAATTAGCCAGGCATGGTGGCACATGCCTGTAGTCCCAGCTATTCAGGAGGCTGAGGCAGTAGGATCGCTTGAGCCCAGGAGATTGAGGTTGTTGTGAGCTAGGCTGATGCCACGGCACTCACTCTAGCCTGGGCAACAAAGCGAGACTTGGAGGGGAGGGGGAAAGGAAAGAAAGAAAGGTCACTCAGTGAAGATATATCTGACCCAAAATGACAATAATGCCAGCACTTTCAAAATGTGATGGTGTCTGTTATATCTTCCATATAATTCTTGAAATATTACCATGAAATAATAATACCTATAGAAACACAGGCACCAAATTAAGTTAGTATTATCCAGACTAGCTTAATGCTCAGGTATTTTATTGACTCAAACATGTTTTTATGATTTCCAAGCTATATTTCACAGAACTCTTAGAAAACAAATATTTTACCACGGAACAAAAGAAATAATATATGACTCTTAAATAGAAGTCCTTTCTCAATAGGAAGGCGTTGCTTTCCAGTATGTGGTATATTAGTAAGAGTCACATCCTCTGGAAGTACCTTTGTTCCTTCTGTAGGGACGCAGGACATTTCCATAGACTCCTCTAAGCAAATCACAGCTTTCTGTCTAAATCCTTGACATAGCATATGCAAACTTAGAATAAATATTTATTTTTTAAAGCTGCACTGACACTACTCTTAGAAACAGTCTGTAGTCCTCTTAAATTTCCATTATAGTAAAATCCTAACTAATCCACTTCAAAAACATTTAATGATTTTTAAAAATCTCCTGTTTAAATCTACTAATCAAAACATTATATCTACTAGTCAAAACATTAGTATTTGCTTTAGTGCATATTTTATTTCTAACTCCAGAAAAATTGAAGAAAAGCAGCTTTTCTTTCAACATCACTATTTAATTTGCATTTATCTGTGAATACAAATAACTCACAAAGTCAGGACAGGGATTTGAGGCATTGCTCAGGGTCTCTGAATCACCCCTCTCCCCCTCATCTCCACGGTGCGAAATCGTCTGGAGGTCCGTCGCACTCTGCAGAGCCAGGGGCAGGGCGTCCTGAAGCCAAGAACAAAGTTACAGATGGGGCAAGTTCTGAGGTCAATACAACTAAACATATCCCAGATGTGGACTTCATTATCATAACCTTCTATTACCACTGAGAAATTTTTAAAAAATGAAAAAATTTCATGAATACTCTGTACAATCAGGTTACTTGTAACAATCGATTTCCTAACTTTCTCCTCTATATCATGGCATCTTAATCCTCTGTACCCAACCCTCTTTGATTAAGTCAAGTCCCATCTTAAATTCATTCTCAGCATGCAATTCTTACAAAGCCCTTGTTTTGAAAATCACTCCTCTTTGCTTTTTACATCGTTAGTTTTCCTTAGTGAATTTAATGCTTTCTTTAAGAGAAGATGCTTACATTTTTGTTGCATCAGTTAGTGGAAATAGACTTTCCTGTAAATGTTTCCAAGAGGCATTTTCTCCTCTAAAGGAACATAAAGGTCAGAGTCCCCACTGCCCTCTGGCTGTTATAACTGTGTTTTGGGTTTCTTCTCACAGAAGGCAGCACTTTAGGAAGAGAAGACCAAACCTGATTGTAAAATCAGGCTTCACACATCCTATGACTCGTACCAAGGAGCCCGCTGGGCCTGTCAGCTCAATCCTTTGCTGGTGTGATATTTTATCGAAGAGGGTGAAAGTCTGCTGCCAGAAACACTATATAAGAGAAAACCTTCTGGAAAATGGAAGGGACCATTTAGTAACTGATTACATGTGACTCTACTAACTTTTCACATGTCCCAGCCGTAACCATTGTCGAGATGTTATTAAGGACACTCTTTCCGCTTTATGAGATCCATTAGAGCCAACTCTTGACTGATCTTTCTACTGAGAATGAGTGTGCTGTACCCCAACTTGCTGGTTGAAATCAATGATTCTCATGACGATCAGGACAGCCTCTTAAGGAACTGGAAATTTGTGGGGGGTATTTTTCTCTTGTAGCATAATGACATGGGAGTGTTACATATCGTAGCTCGTATTACTTTGTAATTCAATTTATTTTCCTTTGCACTGATTTTTATACTTATTTTAGGTGCCAGAAAGAGGTAAGTTAGTACAAACAAATAAACAAATGAAAATTCTGCCTCCTATGCAACTCCTAAACAAAGCAGGTAAGGGGACAAAGAGCAAAACTCAAGTCTTTATACTGGCTTCTTTCAGTAGTCTGCAGCCTTCCAAATTTGATACAGTAAAGTGTCCTCCTGTAAATGAACAGTCACATTCACTCTTCATGATAACCTCGGAAATCAAGGCATCCTTGTAGAATCGTTGCAAACAGTTGTGCCTCACCTACCTGTATGTGCTGAAGACAGAATGAAATGCTCTTCACACAATGCCTCACAGTCTTTTCTAAGGATCTAAATAGCTTTTCTTCTCTGTTAAAGGTATTGTCTTTCACCTAAAAATATATAGGAAATTATTTATTTCAGAACTCAAATAAATCTGATGTTTAAAAAAATGGCACAGACCAATTGACCCAGCACATTAAAAAACAATTCCTGGTTGCTATGAAGACCTTTCATGGCTTGCTGACTGCCTGAGCACAGTGGAGCTCGTAGCGGTGTTCACTTCTGCATAGCTTCACCCGCCTAACAGTAGCGTGGGACTGTAAGACCTTTCTCCAGTTTTTAACAGCATATATTGCATATGTACTCAAATTATAGTACATGTTTTTGGGTTTATAAAACAGCAGAATTTTATCTATTGGCTGGAATTTATTGTTTTGCTCATATGACTCATTCCAGTTTATTTCACAGTGCTTATTTAGAAAATATTCTTAGATTCATGGTTAAAGAAATGTAATAGTTCTTTATCAACTCAAATTTGGAGGATGATATATAATGTTAGCAAAAATAGTCCTTCTGTTAAGATCACTCAGCAAAGTTAAGATAGTGGTCACGGGTTGTTATTTTTTTAAATCTTATTTATATATTGAGAAAAATATGCATTTTATATGCTGTGGCAATTTCTAGAAGCATGCACTTATAATTGCTATTAATGATAAGCAGTATTTATTTTTTTTTTTTTGGCAATCAGAATGGCTACAAAACAAGATCAGAACCAGCCTCACGGTGGCAAAATCTCTGAACATACAAAGGTTTCTTGGAATAGGAATAGCATGTGCTGTTCACTTCAGCACTGGGTCATAATGGCAGCTGTTCTTGGCTCATGTTTCTTAATTTAAGAGGTTGGTCTTAGAGCAGGGTGGAAAAGGGAAGGGCCATTTAGTTACTGATTCACACATAACTCAGAAAACAGTGATGTTTTATTTTATTGTGAAACCCTTTAGCATTGTTTGTGTAGAAAGCTTTTGATTAAATAGGCAACAGAGTTCTTTGCAATACATATAAAATCCAACACCCTCTGCCTTAGGATCACTATGCTCCAACTCAGCCTGGTGTGCGTAACAATATGCTGGGGCAGATTTTTAAAAAATGTTCCCAAGGACCCAGCCCCAGACATTTTATTTTGTAGGAGGTTAAAGGATCACCCTGTGAGAAATACTGCCCAATTCTACTGCCCTGTAGCCAAGCCTTTTTCCACACTGTTTTCTTTTGCTGGAATATGCTGCAGTTCCTTTTCTTCTTCGCAAAATTTGGTTTATTTTTTAAGAACTAGTTCAAATGTCACTACTTCTGTAAATCCTCCCTCCATTCCCATCCTCCCCACTGTAGAAAGTGAGCTGTCCTCACAAACCTAGTTAATGATTTAAGGGTTTCTCTCTCCACTGATAGATTCCAAGTGTTTGAGATTAAGTATTTTTGTCTTAATGATAATAACCACTAACATTTATTAAACACTATGTTCCAGACACTGTGCCAAAACCTGCCTTCCCATTTTCCCGTTTTTTTTTTATTTTGGCATATTATGGGGGTACAGATTTTAAGGTTTCAATAAATGCCCATTTCCCCCCCTCCCCCCAATTTTTTTTTAATTTTTTTTTTATTTTGGCCCATTTTCCCGTTTTAACTCTTATTATATACACACACACACACACACAACGGAAAACCAGAGAAGCCCCAGGTGTGGCAGCAATGATGAGACTCCCTGCTGTCCTCTCCCCGACAGAGCCCCCGCCCCGCGGTCTGGCCTGGGGACGGGGCTGGGGATGGGGTTGCGGGGCTGGGGGGCTGGGGACGGGGCTGGGGGGCTGGGGACGGGGCTGGGGGGCTGGGGACGGGGCTGGGGGGCTGGGGACGGGGCTGCGGGGCTGGGGACGGGCTGCCCGCCAGAGATGACACTGCTCGGGCTCCTTGCGGCGGGCTCTGCCCGGGTCACCGGCCGAGGCAGACGGGTGCGGCGAAGGCTGGCCAGTCACTGCCGAGCCTCGGCCTCAGGGCACCGTCCTGGGGGCTCTCGTGAGGACACGGCGGGGCCTCGGCCTCGCCAGGCGGAGGGATCCGCGCGTCCAGGAAACACGGCGGGGCGCCGGGCCCGCAGGCGAGGAAGCGGGGCCCTCCGGGCCGCGTCTCAGGAGCGCCACGAGTCCCTAACTGAAGCCCCTGCGCTTTGGCATCGTTGACAGACGTGTGGCCTTTGCCCTGACGAGTGGAAGGAGTTAAAGAAACTTGCTCACAGCAACAGGCGGAGTCAGGACTCGCGCCCAAGCAGTCCGAATTCACTCCGTGCCCTCCGCCCTCGCGTACGGCCTCTGACCTCACGCCGGGTGCGCGTGCGCGTGCGCGGCGCGGCGCGGCGCGTCGAGCAGAAGCTCCCTCCTGGCTAGCAGCCCTGCGCCGACCCGCCGTGCTTCACCTGAGCCGCGCACAAGCGCAAGATTGATGGATTCGAGATTTAGCTCTTCTCCAGCCCAGCCTATGCTGCTGATTTTCTGATTAACAGTAAAATGCTTCATTGCTGACAGGACATTCTCTCAAAAGATTAAGGGGAAAAATCTAATTAATATCCTTTCAGGCTGCTTTAACCACAACTCACTTCTAGTTCACAACTGGAAAATGTAAGACGCTGACGCTAAATATGGTAAAGAATATAACGGGCTATTCAAAAGCCTGCCCAGAATTAAAGCCGACATTGCCTATTGTTCCTCAACAGAATTGTCTTGAGCCAGAAGCAAGAAGCAAAATTCCAAAGAGTGGGGGGGGACTGTTTGCTACACTGACACAGGCCTACAGCGGCTGAAATTACTCCTCACGTGAATTTCCAATTCCATTTTATTGCTGTTGTTTTTAGTGGACTATCCTTTTTTTTTTTGAGACAGAGTCTTGCTTTGTTGCCCAGGCTAGAGTGAGTGCCATGGCGTCAGCCTAGCTCACAGCAACCTCAAAAACTCATGGGCTCAAGCGATCCTCCTGCCTCAGCCTCCCGAGTAGCTGGGACTGCAGGCATGCGCCACCATGCCCAGCTAATTTTTTCTGTATATATCAGTTGGCCAATTAATTTCTTTCTATTTATAGTAGAGACGGGGGTCTTGCTCTTGCTCAGGCTGGTTTCGAACTCCTGACCTTGAGCTATCTGCCCACCTCGGCCTCCTAGAGTACTAAGATAACAGGCCTGAACCACCGCGACAGGCCTGGAAATATCTTCATTATCCTTTCCCTGGTCTGTGAACATATACCGTAAATATCCCAAACTTCCCGCGAGGGAGTTCCACTCCGAGAGCAGCAGCCTCCTGTGTGCAGGCCCTTGGCGCCCCAGGAGGCCCACAGCAGCAGATGGAAGAATGACTCGGGCCTGCGTTCTGAGATGTCCGTGTTGGCTATGGTGTGGTGAATCTGGTACAGCCACAGGAGGAAACAAGAGCAAGGCTTGGAAATAAGCAGTTTATTATGGGCCAGGCACGGTGGCTCACGCCTGTAATCCTAGCACTCTGGGAGGCTAAGGCGGGAGGATCGCTCAAGGTCAGGAGTTCAAGACCAGCCTGAGCAAGAGTAAGACCCCGTCTCTACTAAAATAGAAACAAATTAATTGGCCAACTAAAAATATAGAGAAAAATTAGCCAGGCATGGTGGCACATGCCTGTAGTCCCAGCTACTCAGGAGGCTGAGGCAGTAGGTTGAGGTTGCTATGAGCTAGGCTGACACCATGGCACTCTAGTCCCGGCAACAGAATGAGACTCTCAAAAAAAAAAAAAAATGCCCAAACATTATGCAATACAGAAAGTAAAAAACACGATTAACAGGCCATACAGGGAGGAGTTTACATCACATAGGAAGCAAGAAGTCTGCACATTCAAAGGCAAATAGCAACACAAGGCAATGGTATGAAATGATGATGATGATGATGATAGTAATGGCAGACAATATATATATCGAGTGCTTACGCACCATGTTAGGTGCTTTCTTTATATATACATCATCTCAGTACATCCTTACACCCATCCCATGTGTTAGGTACTAGTACAATCCCAGTTTACACATGATTACATCAAATTTATGTGCCCCAAACAAATATTTATTAAGTGGCAAAGGTGGGGTTCAAACTCAAGTTTATATAACTTTAAAAACCCTGCTCATAATTTCTTTCCTATGCCAACTCCTGCAAATATGAATTGTGCCAAGGTGAGGATGTAAGTGTATCAGGTCATTTCTGACCTAAGTGGTCAGAAACTGCAAAGATTTGATGAAGAAGGAAAAAAAAAGAAAAACTATAGCAGCTACCATATGCCATCTAAAACCAACGCTGAACCATTCCCCGACAGTTCTTAGGAGTGCCATATGCTGCTTAGGGACGAATGTGGGGACCCCTGGGCCACCTTTAGGTCCCACATCTTTAATGTCCCTATCTCCCCTTTGTCTGCTCCTCGGTGGAAGCACCACGGCCAAGACAGAGTCAAAGCCCTCCCTGCCCCCCCAACCATTTCCTCCAGAGAGAGAGGAAAGGAAAATGGAAGAGCACAGGGCAGTCACCTGTTCTGGCGATCCTAGAAATTGCCCCATACAGAAAACAATTCTGTTTTCTCACAAAAATATCAACATTCCTGTCCCCTGGGAACATACACGTGGCCCAAGAAGAAAAATTACCTGCGATTCTCTTCTGGTCAGAATCTTTAGATGATTTGTCACTCTTTTTGATTTCTTGCTAATTGAATGAATGCTTAGTTTTGACAGTTTGTCTTTAAGCGATTCATCCTCATCATTCTTCTTGTATTTCAGAACTGGAAAGGAAGAATGCAATGACATATCCGGAAACACACAGCATAGAAAGTGTGCACTTCACCCAGAGTTTTCAAGGTCAGTGTTTATATTCCAGATCAAAACCTATGTGATTTTTGACCCTCTGCGGTATGCCCCCGCCCCCCAGTCCTGTCTCCGGCATCTGCCTCAGCGACCTTCGGAAATTCAGCCGTTCTGGACTGAGCTCCTCAACCCTCCACTCATCTCCCACGTTGAAGAGACCCCTGATACTAAGGCAAAAAGCTCAGATAGTCTATTATTGGGGTCCTCTGGAAGGGGAAATCAGGACCCAACTCATGAAAAGGTGACTGTCCCCAATGTAGGGAGACCTCAGAGCCCAGAGTGGCTCTTCACTAGCTGAGAGGCATGGGTCATATGCAGTAATTTCTCTGAGCTTTACTTACTTACCTTAAAATCGTTTTCACCTTAAAATCGTTTGAAATGTTAAATAGTCCTAACGTTCAGTGTTGCTAAGAGTGTGGGAAGAGGGACAATCCTAGGCACTGCTGATGAGGGTTAAATCAACACCATTGTTGTAAAGAACAATTTGGCACAATCTAACAAAAATGAAAATATTCCTATGACCGGGAAGTTCATGCAGAGAAATCTGCTTTCTAGAATCAAGTGTGTGAAGTTTTGTTTGCTACAGCATTTTATCTGATAGTGAGGTATTGGAAACAGTCTGAAAGTTTATCCATAGAGGAATAGTTTAATAAACCATCACACACTCATAAATGGAATACTATAGAAGCAATAAGAATAAGGCAATATTAATTAGAAGAATGTTTATGACATATGATTAAATTCTATTTGAGGAAAACAAACTGTGATCCATACATGTTGCAGGAAGGAAGGAAAGAAGGAAAAAGGAGGGGGTTGGAGAGAGACAGAGACAGGAAAAAGAAAATAGTAAAAAAGGACATGGAAAGTTTAAAGGAAACTTAATAAAATGTTAACTATGCAAACTGGAAACATAGGAGTGAAAAAATTTTGCTCTTTAAAACTTTGAAATAGTTTAAGTAAACAGCAAAATATGGAGACTAATATATCAGCCATTATCCACCTTCCAGCTTTGTCTTAACATTTTGTTTTGTTTCCAACCTTTTTTTTTTAAATCACCTAACAGTTGAAGCCTCCCTGGTCCCCATGTTGGATCCCTAAAGGGAACTGCTATCCTAAACAATGTGGTTTATTATTATTATTATTATTGTTTGTTTGTTTGTTTTGTTTTGTTTTTTTTGACACAGAGTCTCGCTTTGTTGCCCAGGCTAGAGTGAGTGCCATGGCGTCAGCCTAGCTCACAGCAACCTCAATCTCCTGGGCTCAAGCAATCCTGCTGCCTCAGCCTCCCAAGTAGCTGGGACTACAGGCATGCGCCACCATGCCCGGCTAATTTTTTTTTTTTTGTATATATATATATCTATATATCAGTTGGCCAATTAATTTCTTTCTATTTATAGTAGAGATCGGGGTCTCGCTCTTGCTCAGGCTGGTTTCGAACTCCTGACCTCGAGCAATCCGCCCACCTCGGCCTCCCAGAGTGCTAGGATTACAGGCGTGAGCCAGCACGCCCGGCCAAGAGGCATTTTGTTTTTAAAAAAATGACTCCGAAAAGAAAAGGAAAAGGAGGCCTGTCGAGCACGTCTGGGTGTGACTGTGCATCCCCCAACATCCGGTGCCACCACCAAAGATTCCTACGTGTAGCCCATAGATCTCGAGCAATCCGCCCGCCTAGGCCTCCCAGAGTGCTAGGATTACAGGCGTGAGCCACCTCGCCCGGCTGGTTTATTATTTTTAATCTATTTTTACACCTCACTGTGGATGTCTGCAATCATACAATATATATAGTATTACTTCAAATATTTTTAAACCTTATAAAAATGGTATCATATTTACACATATTCTATCATTTGCTAATTTACTTATTTTTAAGCTTGTGTTTTTGTGATTAACCCAATTGATACGTGTACTTTGACTTCATTAATTTTTACCTTCACATGGCATCATTGTGTACAATATGCAGTTTATCCATTATCTGGATAAATACATAAGCTTTTTTTAATTGCATCTATGAACAATGCTAGTTGCTAGTACATATCTTTTTAAGCACGTGGGCAAGAGTTTCTCTAGAACAAATACCTAGAAATTGATTTCCTGAGTCTCTGGTGTGTGCATCTTCAACTTTACTAGATATTGTCAAATTGTTCTCTCTAAAGTGATGATTCCAATTTATGTTCTCAGCAGCAGATTAAGATTGCTGAGATTCAGCACTTAATGTTATCCATTCTTTTTTCTGTTTTTGCCAATCTGTTGGGCTGGGAATGATATGCCATTGTGATTTTAATTGGCATTTCCCTGATTATTAGTGAAGCATAGCTTTTTAAAACTATTTGGCCTTTCTGTGAATTGCTTTTCATTATTAACTTTTTCATATTAAAATGTTTTTATATTTGATTTAATATCAATAATTATATATTCTGGACAGTAATCCTTTGTATACTGTCTCTTGAATTTGTTTATGGTCTCTTTTACTCTATAGCTTTCACTTTTTACTCTACATTTCTTTATAATTTATTAGTACAAATATATTAGTTTTTGAATAAAAATTAGAAATAAAAACAAAAATAAATGAAGTGGTTAGACCAGTTACCTCTAAAGTCCTACTATTGCTTTGAGGTAGAATTGAGGTTTAATATTAGGAGTACAAGGACAATTGAGAACTTTGTGGACACAAACCACACTGGAGGACCCACAGCTTAGCCCAGTGCATTACTACCTCTGAGAAATACAGGAATCATTATCTTTCCTGTTTTGAAATCTCCATTTTATATTAAATACTAATTTTACAATTTAGCTTACAAATAGTTAATAATTTGTTAATTCTAGAGAGAAGTATACTTGCTCCCATCAGTAGAGAAATGATTGCCAAAAAATCTTCATTCTCTGTGTGCCAGGATCAGATGAGCTTATGGCACTGGCTGGGCCCCTCACCTGGATCTGCCCCCCCCAGTGGCTTCCTCTCACTATACCTGCCGCAGTGACAGGAGGCGTACACGCTACGCGTGGCTGCAGCCTCAACACATCACCAGGAGTGCAGTGGCCAAATAAAGTTAAATACACGGCTGTTTTTTGGGGGGGGTTTGAGACAGAGTCTCACTCTGTTGCCCGGGCTAGAGTGCTGTGGGGTCAGCCTCACTCACAGCAACCTCAAACTCATGAGCTCAAGGGATCCTCCTGCCTCAGCCTCCCGAGTAGCTGGGACTACAGGCATGTGCCACCATGCCCAGCTAATTTTTTCTATATATTTTAGTTGGCCAATTAATTTCTTTCTATTTTTAGTAGAGACGATGGGGTCTCGCTCTTGCTCAGGCTGGTTTCGAACTCCTGACCTTGAGCGATCCTCCTACCTCAGCCTCCCAGAGTGTTAGGATTACAGGCGTGAGCCACCGTGCCCAGCCAGGGCTGTTTGATTAAAAAAAAAAAAGCCATCTACTCCTGAACCCAGCTGGTAAGACAAAACCACACTTACCCCTCCCCAGCTCCTAACTAGATTTCAAATGATCATGTTCAGTGCAACTGCTATTTAGACATTCTGCTCTCAGAAACATAAACACAACATTACACACATGGAAAACAACCACTTCATCACATCTCTTCCTACCCAAATCTTTCCTTCTCTTGAGTTCATTGATGTTAACATTGATGTCCTTCACAGCAGCGAAGGCAGCCTCCAGAGCTCCGTGATCGGGGTGAGAGGTAGGGGTGGAATTTCGAAGTTCACACAGTAACAAGGGATATTTCATCACACGCTGAATTGGTTTGATCATCAAAGAGCCCATGTCCAATAAGTTTGGTTTGCCTCTGTAACAGAGATCAATAGTATCAGTTTCACAAACATGGCTTTATTAAGTCCTTTTCATTATTGCAATATTTTAAATGATTATTCCTGAAACTGTTTTTCTCTCTCTTTTTATTTTTTTCCATTTGGCTATATACAATTTCTAACTGAAAGATGACAGGAAAAAATGCAAGGGGGAAAGACTCTACTACTAAACAAAAACCTAAAAGAAAACTAACAAGTCTATCTGTCCATTAACAGGGGCTCAAAGAATGATTTTCATCCATGTTCCTTGTACTTTTTAAAAATAACAGACTTTATAATATAGTGGGAAATAATTTCAAAATGTATTTTTCCATGACAACCAAGAAAAATGCATTTTTCCTGGTGGTATTTTTATGATTATTAGTGAGGAAAATAAACTCATTATTTAAAAATCTAAAGAGATGACTCGCCAAGTATAATCCAAGAAAGCATTGTCATCTCTCTTCCACCAGATTGAGAAGTTGCATTTACAATGTTTCAGAGGTTCTACTGCAGTCCTCAGAAGAGATTTATGATAAGTGTGACAGTTCTCTAGTTATTATCACCATCACCGTCACTAATCATTCCTATCACAAAATGACTTCCCATTTGGAACTCTTTAGCCAACACATCTTCAAGTGACTAAGATCTTCCCAGACGAGGACAGAGCGATTGCAATCGGGCATGCCGCTCCCAGGAGGGGAAGATGCTGCGAGCAGTCCTGTCGCTGTCCAGCCCACAGCCAGCGACCCTTCAGCCGGAAGGCAGCGATTGCTAACAGCCTCTCCATGCAGAGATAAATAGACACGATGAATAGGAAATAGAGACAATATTTTCAAATCCTGATAGGTGGAGTTTTCATGCTCCTGTTATTTTTTTAAAGTACTAATGGATAGACAATAATCCACATAATTAGAATAGTAAAACAGATATAAAAATGTTCAACAGAGTTAGAAAATTTGCATCATTAGAAAAGGTCTGAAGGCATCTCAAAGATTGTCTAAGTCAACTCTTCATTTGATAAATGAGAAAATCAGGAACTTTGATTACGTGGACATGCACACGTGCATGCAGATAGATATGTGAACACACACACATGCACACACGCCAGGCACTGTCATGTCTCCCCATCCTGTTCTCATCATATCACTTATCACTATCTGGAATCGTCTTGTTTCCCTATGTACTAGTTTATGATCAATTTCTCTGTCACCACTCTATCTCCAGCATGACATACAGTATTCCTCTCAACGCATATTGAAAGACTGAGAAATGATAGAGTTCTCAGATTTTCTGTAATGTGGTTTTTTTTATATTGAATTTTTTTACAAAAATTGCATAATGATTCTGAATAAATGACTGAGGAATTTTGTTCACATGCAGAGAAAATAATGATAGCATAATACAAAGAGTAAAGCAAATCAAAAGGCAACGTTTACTTAGGGGAAAAAAAACAAATGTTAAGGGTTTGTGAGGGAGAAAAGAGTTGCTTTAATATGCTTTACCTGTACTTCCTATCCATTTGCACCAAGTTTATTAAGTAAGGAAAGGAGGGAGCTAAGAAGAGAAGGTGACAGCGAGGGAAGGAGGGAGAGAGAAAAAGAGAGAATCAGAGAGAGAGAGAGAGAAATATTGATTATTGGTTCCCAAGAAGACAGAGTGAAGTGGATAAAAACATGTAAATCCATTATAAATACTGAAAAAAATAACTAAAATGTATTTCCCAACTGATGGTGCATCAGTAACAGAACCTTTGAATACGTAGGACAGCATTTTCTTATGTACCATGAAGCAAAGATTCTTTAACAATACAGTTTAGACACATAAGTAGAAATAATTCCTTTAAATAAGAAACAAGTCAGGGATATAGAAAGCATTAACTTGATTAGAGGAAATCATGTTATCTGTATGAATATAATTAGAATTTCTTTTGTGTTTTTCCTCTATCACCAAATATTCATTTAATCTTTTGAAAATCACTGAAAATATTATCAAAATATAAACATAATCAAACATTTCAATAAAAGAAAATTCAACTTAATAAAATAAGTTATTAGTGTGTATCATAGTCATACATATACTTTTATTTTCAATTATAAAAAAACAAAAAATCCAGGTATATTAAATGTTATACTTGTATCTTTGAGCTGTCCTCTTTTCTTCCTTCCTTATATAGACCTGCCAAAAATCCCAACCTAGGCCCTTTAATTGTGTCCAAATAGTATTATTACTTCTTTTTCCATCACTTTTTGGCATCGAAGTTCTATTTTCTCAATTTTATGTTTCAAATAACAATAATAACAATTATAAATGATTATTGTTTTTCTTAAAACCATAATACATGCAAATCCTAAAACAGGCATTCTCAAAGAAGAGAAATCTCCCAGATACTTTTGACTTCAGACATACACTTCGAACAGTTGCCCAAGTGGAGACCAATGATGTTCTGATATCTGCATCATACAGACAAGCAGTGTGGTAGAAGAGATAGAGGTTGTGTTGCAAGATAATGACATTCTGTGCATTCAGTGCACAAAATTCACCCATCTAATCCCACCCAGTAAGATTAGATTCTGGTAACTGTGCAAGGCAGAGGAGTCCTGTGTGGCAGGGCCCCTCCCAGTCAGGAAGCCAACACCGTCTGCCCCACAGTCTGTATCCAAATGTGTGGCAATTCCCCATCCCTGCCGGGCTGGAAACTAAATAGTTGTTAATCTGTAATTCTGTTTCATCTTCCTGTGTCTTATCATGAATACTTTGGCAAGTATTTAGTGCCATAAGCAGCTACACTAATCTCATTATAAATTATTATTAGGACTTTACAAAGTCAAGTAAACACAGCTGTCTTTGTTTTAGCAGCATCCAGTTTTTCTGTGAAAAGCTTCACATTAAATATAAGAAAAAATTGCACAATTAAAATAAAATCGACATTTAAACAATGTAAAAAACTATGCTAAAAACAAAAAATCAGATATTCAACATGAGGCACACATCTACATTTCTTAATAAGAGGGATAAAATAAGAAAAAATCCTGTAACTATTAACTCAACTACTTTGAATTTCCTCTATTTCATGACCACAAGCATCTTAATTTAATATTTATTTTACAGCAAGGCATAAAATCCAAAAACCACAGTAGAGAAATGTGGTAAGTCTATTTAAAAATTTAGTTCTGTAAAACTGTGTAGATTAAAAACAAAACCAGAAACAGGCATAAACTATGTTAAAAGTCAAATGAGATGCTGGAAAAATCATTTCTAGTATATTAGACAGACAAGGGTAATATACTTGCTAATTACAGAGGCATTATAAATCTACAAAAAGATAAACATCTTAATAAAAGCAAATAATCATCTAAAAATATCATTCATTAGAGATGAAATGCAGATTGTTAAACACAGAAAAAAATTCTCAAGATCATTAGTAATACAGATTAAAACAACAAAATACCATTTTGGCCTATTACAAGTTATAAAGATACAAATACTATATTAATTGTTTCTAGTGTTGGCAAGTGGTGGATAGACAGACAATTCGTGTCTGGGTAATGTGAATATAAATTAGTTCAACTTCTCTGAAATTTTTTGACAATATGTGTCAAAAGCCATTGTTTGATTTAGCAACTCTGCTTTTAGAAATTTATCTTAAGTAAATAATAAGATTATTATACAAAGATCATATATATGAAAATGAACATCTAATATCAATGTTTATAGGACAGACACAATTCAACTCTCAGTAAGTGTTTGGTAAACTAAATTATATATATATATATATATATATATCAGGTAGAATATTATGCAATTATAAAACAATGTGGATTTATCTTTACTGGCATGTAAAGATGTCCACAATGTATTGAAGAATGAGGTACAAATCCACATGCAGGAAATATATAGTGTGTCTATTTTAATCAATACATATGTGTATAAAGAAAAGAACTACAATGAAGTGAGGTATTCACTACAATGTTCAAAACAGTTAACTTTGGAACATGACTACCAATTATCTTTACTGTCCTCACTTTTATTATCTTTATTTTGCAGTATTTCTTCAATAATTTTAAAAACAGACAAGAGAAAATAACATTTTGAGATTAATAGGAACCCTGAGATCCAAAGGTGGGAATAGCTGTTCACACAGGGAACACCTATGGAAAGGAGTAAAAGCATGAAGAAAACAAACACAGCATTTCTAGCGATAGTTACATTGAGAATAAGCATCTTTTTTATCTTGCTTTAGAACATGAGAATTGTATCAGATGCTTTCTTGGGAACTCTTCAGTGAGGGATTCTATGATTCTTGTCACTTCAATACTGTCTGATGTTTGCATAAGATTATAATTCAAAGTAAATATTTTAGACGTTGTAAATATCTTTGACTTTCTGTGTATTTTTTTACATGTAGATTATTAAAAAAAAAAAAAACAGAAAATTTTCAGTTACCATAACAAGAGACTATTTGGATGCCATTTAAAAACCCATATCTCTTAAATGCTCTTTGGCCACAACATTCCTGGCCTTTACAAAGAGCCCAAGATTACACAGCACTTGAGGCTGCCTTCTAGCCTTTCCCATGGCAGCATGTGTGCTTCACGACCTGCAGGAGAGGAGCAGAAAGGAAAGTGCCTCCTGGCGACCTTGGCTTTGATGTTCATCCAGCCACATGCTGTGACCGCTCATCTATTTTGGCTCTTGAACAGAACAGGCGAGAGGGGCACACACCACCTGGCTAACTGCCACACAGCAGGATTGCTGCAAAAGCTAGGGCCCTGTTTTAAGCAAGTGTTTCACAATAATACACTGTTTGTTTTAGGTATTCTGTATGTAGGAGTCTGTGCATGCTAATTGCACTAAGGAGAACACCTCCCTCTCCTCCCTGAGTCACTCTCCTCCTCTCTATTTTATTTTTTTCCTTGTGAAGACCTAAGCTTTGGGAAAAGAAACATAAGCAGAATTGGGAGCACATGAAGTTCTTCTCTAATCACTGATTTCTTCGAAGCTCCAGTTGTTGGCACAATGCCAGGGACACAGCCTTCTCAGCAAGGCACAGCCACTGCCACCCCCACTCCTCTATCTTTGAAGATAAGCCAGAAAGGCTCATGCACCTCCTCAAATGCAAAAGATCACAGAATTGGAAACTCATTAAACAAATCTACTCATATCTGTTTATCCTGCAGGATATTTTTTCTTTTCGAAAGAAAAGACTTATTAAGTGATAGAATTGGTTGCCTATTTGCTGTCTTAAAAATCAACTTTTCAACATGACTGAGGTACAAAGCCTTGGTCTACTGGTCTGTATGATGCCTGATTCCTCCACCTCAGTCTGGAATGCTTTCCTGACTGCTGCTCTGCACCAACGTATAAATGGCAGGTATTTCTGGCTTAAATAATATAGTTTCTACTTTGCAAATTGTATATTTTTTGAGGTAAACTCTTAGGAGTTTAAAATACATACACACACACACACACACACACACGCACACACACACACACGCACGCACGCGCGCTGGGTTCTTAGGATCTTAGAAAGTGGCTCAGTAGGATAAGCCAAAGATGTGCCTTTCTAAGTCATGGTAAATTTGAGTTTGTATTTAAGTCCATATCATCCTTTCAGTATTAATCAGCCTAGACATGATTTTCTTCCCCCAAAATGGACATCTTTCAGAGTGTGTGCATATGTTGTTTTTATAAAATAATTTCGATGTTGTCCTAGTGACCAAATATTTCATCTTAATATTTCATTTCCATGTTATATGTGTATATAATTGTTTCTCCGTAAATAACCCAAGAGTCCAAATTAGAGGGATCTCAATATTTCAGTATAATACGTACTTGTATTTTCTTACGCATTAATCTATGGGACCTTCAAAAATATTATGGTATCAATCTGAGATTTTTTAAAAGACTACCGTCATTCATAGGAAATGGCTTTGGACACATTAAGATTCCTAAACATATGTGTGATAAGCAGCTCCCAAAGAGTTCCTGGCACCCAGCAAACTTAGTAAATTATATATCAGGATTCTTCTAAAAAGTGTATGTGATAATAATTTCATCAGTAAGATCATCTCACAGATTAGAAACAAGGTAACATATAAATCTGGTGCAACAGTAATATCTGGGGTAAACGCCTTTGCAATCCTGACTTACTTACTAAAAGCAATACATGTGATTGTAAAAACCGGAGATTCTGATTTGAACACAAAAATTCAGCAGTTTTTCCCATGATTTTTATATTTGATTTCTATCATTAAAAAAATACTTACTCTTGCATATATATTTTCCTGTAAGAGAAGAAAAAAAAGTAAATTCATATAAATCCATATGTTTAGGATAATACATAAACATTATAAAACATTTTAAATTTTCTTATATAAAATAAGTCATTTTCATGAATGCCCTACAAAATTAGTATAATTACTTTATAATCATGACCCTAGAGTTTTTATTTTAGTATATCCACCATTTTTGCTTCCCACTTTATATAAGAATAAAAATTGTTGATTTAGATTACAGTTAGTAAATTTTGAAAATTTGAAAATAAATTTAAAATTTTGTTTCCATTATTAAAAAAAGATCTATTAAACATAGCAATGGGAGAGACCAAGATTACAAGATTACAAAGAAAATGTTTAATTTTCTTTGTAAATTAAAGTTTTTCTGCAAGAAAACTATCAAGTGCTCTATATCTCTGGATACAGTATAAGGAACAATTCGCCTGTGCTACGAAGAACTCTCACAAAAGCCTTCACTCAGCATTGCTAGCTTTTGTGGCTTCCTTTTTGCTCAAGTGGAACTGAAGCCCTTCCAAGTAAGAGCGATACATGATCTGCCTCTCTTTCCACTCTTTCCATCTGCTCCACTTCCTGTCACCTCACCTGCCGTCTGTGGTGTCACAGAGGCTCCTTGCTCTTTCTGAAGCCAGCCAGGTCAGGCGTGCTGCTGCCTCTGGGTCTTTGTACCTCCTGCCCCTTCTGGGGCATTACTTCCTCTCTTTCCTGATATCTCCATGGCCGACTCCCTTAACCCATTCAGGTCTTTGCTCAAATGTCCTTCCAGGGGAGCCTTCCCTGGCCAACGTTTCAAGCATCGCACCCTACTTCATGCCATACTCTTTCTCCCTGCTGTTTTTCTCTCCATGACACTTGTCACTTTCTAAGATACTATAGAACATTCTTATGTAGTCTATTATTTAACCCCCGCTCAAAAACTCTGGGCAAGAATTTATGTTTGATTTGCTCACTGCTGTAGCCCCAGAACCCAAAAAGCGGCTGGCATTTGGGAGGAGTTCAAAACATATTTGTCAAATTAGTTAGCAATAAAAAGAGTGGAAATTATTCAGGTTAAATTTAAGGAATCAAGAAGATGGACATATTTGTCTAAAAGCCTCATGTGGCTATAAATAGAAATAAAGCAATATCTTGTGTTTATCATCTGATCACTGTGGCCTCTGGCTTCCAACCTTTGGAATACAATGAAGTTTTCAGTATCAAAAGTTTTATGATCCTACCCCATGATTGTAGATGGTCTTTTTAGATTAAGTGATTGAGAAAAAAATTTAATGATAAATGTCTATGCTAAATTTTAAAAATTTTAATGGATTTAATAAGTTTATTTCATTAGTCTCAGTACTGTGTATATGTGGAGAACAGTGATGTATATGTGTGAAGTAATTGTTTCCTTGATCTTCAAACATGCCATATGAATGGTTTCCTGGATATCTTGAAATCACTAGGTTTTGCTGAGTCCAAGACCTCCTAGATGGGAATCAAAAACAGAAGTATAATTTCTTTAAAATCAGACGGTGTCGCAATTTTAGGCAATCATTTACTGCTGTTTAGAGAACTATTCTGCTGCAGTGAAAGAAATGGCACCGACACTGCCCCTCTGCACAGTGTTTCCATCCATTGATCTCCTTTCAGCTCATGTTCATTCCCTAATTTCTATCCTCTTCTAAAGAGGAATTTGATTTGCCCATTATGCTTTATGGATCACAGATCAGAAAATTTAGGGAACAAAATGAATAAAAATAAAAATGGAAACAAACAAGTGAACAAAGTGATCATTTAGGGACCAAAACACACACTTTAAAGTTAAAAGAAAAGATTGTTCTTTTAACCCCTAAAGAAGCACATGGACATTATTTTTCTGCTTCATTTATTTCCACCAAGCAAAACCCAAATATTATAACATAAATTAAACTCTGTGTTTGATGAAGTATAATGTTTTTAGAAAAGGAATCTGAGAGGTTTTCCAGTAGAGGACACAACAATCTCTGGAGTAAGGGCACTACATGAAAACATCTCCTTTTAATTTGCTCATCATTTTTAAAATCTCTTTTAGTCTAAAACTTTCCAGAAGTTAATCCCAGAGAAGGATAATTCAGAAAGGAGGAAGTTAAATTGTGTCTGTTTACCCTTTTATGGGATAAAGTAATTTAATATATCTATGGCTCCATGTCCTACCCTCCCAGGCTCATTATAACTTGACTCACAATTAACAAAAGTTGTTACGTGGCTGTTCCTCAAAGATTATAGTCTTTGTTCAAACATGATGCCATAAAACAAGGAACTGAAAGAATTTCCAAAAGTGATTTTAATTTTCACTTGGAATACTCCATTAGAACAATAAATATAAAATGTGGTGAACAAATTGAAATGCATTCCTCTAGATTTTGCATTGCATGAGCTTTTAGCTTCCTCTCTGAGTGGAGAAGCTCCAGGAGTGAGTAATGTGAGCAGCCAAAGTGCCAGATGACTAGAAGTTAGAAGTTTCCCTCTTGAGGATGATGGCCTTGGTTAGCAAGAAGAAAGATGGATAGATTTACAGAACGCAGACATGAAGCTAGAAATGTGTCTTCCATCTATCAAAAAATTTAGAAAATCCCCTTCATTGTTTTTCTATTACAAAATAAACAGATCCTGGGGGCCTCTGAAATGCAGCAGGGACTTTGGTGGTATTTATAAGTGGAAAAATAGAAAAAGGCGGCAGCAGACAGGGTATTCTAATTATAGCTCCACTTGCTTTTATATCCATTCTCGTTTTCACTCTCCTCCTACAGATCAGAAACCTTAAATAACCTCAAAGAGGCTAAGTCATCAGATCTTTAGCAAGTAACTTCCATAACTTTAGAGACTATTAATTCATTTCACCCAATCTTAGGGGCCACTAAACTTCTCGTTGAATAAATAAAAACTTGCAGATTTCCAATGTGCAGGCTATAGATGCAGGTGTGTATTGTGCTTCTGGATAGCCTTGAAGTCTTTTCTTTTTAAAGATCTACACGCTCTGAAATTACTACTTAGATTATAGTGACATCAATGAAAAAGCTCTTCTGCTTCAGAGAAAGCAGCGAGCCCTGTGGGTATGATTTCTCCCTCTGACAGAGTTCTTAGCCTGATCGGCATGGACATGACCTGTGGGCTTGGAGTGCAGGTCCTGCACTGAGCCACCAGCCGTCCTGTTATTTTGGTCTGAGACAGGGCACAGGAATATGCACTTTTAATACAAGTCCCTGGTGGACCTGACCCAGGGGAGCTCACACACAGAGAAACACCGCCCTGAGGTTTCAAACAGATTCAACATTCTTGTGCCCTGGCGTCAGCCTCGCTCACAGCAACCTCAAACTTCTGGGCTCAGGTGATCCTCCTGCCTCAGCCTCCCGAGTAGCTGGGACTACAGGCATGTGCCACCATGCCCAGCTAATTTTTTCTAAATATTTTTACTTGTCCAGCTAATTTCTTTCTATTCTTTTTAGTAGAGACGGGGTCTCGCTCCTGCTCAGGCTGGTCTTGTGCTACTGAGCTCAAATGATCCTTCCACCTGGGCCTCCCAGAGTGCAGGGATGACAGGCATGAGCCACTGCGCCCGGCCTGGAAATTATTCTTGAGCTGTGCCCACCGTGACAGCTTCTGGTGTCCTTCACATTAGTTCCATGTTGTTAAGGAACTTTCCACATGGTTTTGTTTCCCCAGCTGAGGCGCGTGCTCCTGGGAGGCAAGAACTCTGCCTATATATTTAAAAACTATTTTCAACGTTATCTATCACTCTATAAATATTTATCAGGCCCTCAATAAACCTATTTCAATTTTTGTTAAAATGCAACTAAGTTGCTTTAAAATCCACTTTAGCTTCTGAGGCATGAAGCCGTCTCTCTCACGGATATTGCTTCAAACCAAATTGTTCCAATATCCGCTTGCATGGTATAGAAGGGAGGCCATGCCTAATATTAATTGGAAATTGGCGACTACACTGGCTCTGTTATTTAGCCACAAGGAAAAGGCAGAGTAATAGCCCTGACCAATTACTTGGCAGGAGAAACCAAGCCCTTAGGGTGTTCCAGACTCTCTGTGGCCTATAAACCTGTTTGCAAACCTGTTTCTCAGAATTTAAAGCTTAGCTCAGTTGAGGTCAGTGTTATAGTAATGTCAATAATTCAACTGCTCTCAGCCTTCAGGCAGACCTGCACAATTCATCATTAACTTCATTTTCATGGAAAGGCAACTTTGGGGAAAATAGCTCTAACTTAAGCTATTTTATTTTGATTTTCTTTCCCATAAGAAATAGTTCTGCCAATGTCGCAGAACTACATTCTTGTGGGTTTTGTGTTTTTCTAAACTTTAACACTTTCTGGTGCCTGATATTATTACCTAAAATCAGAATGGTTCTGAAACTTGGGATAGCACCAGGGCAAGAACTTGAAGCTTTCAAAAAAAGGATCAAATAGACCATTGAGTCTAAAAGTAAGCTTTAGCAATTAGGGCTTTATGAGGTTTCAAAACTACCTCTACTTTTAGGTGCTTTTTCAGGTGTGATATTGAGCTAGGCTGCCTAGTGGAATGTTCTGGCAGGGTCTATTTCCTTCTTGAAGGAGGCAAAAGCCTGATAAGTAATAAACTAACGTTCATCCCCCTCTGAACAGACAGCTCCACTGGCCAGGAGGGAGCAGAGGGGAGCATGTGTCCAAGTCGATTATCCGCATCCTCTCCAGGAGGGACACCCCCCCAGGGCCAGCGTTGGGGTGCTGGTCCATGGGGCTGGTTGTTCATTTGCTATGAGATTTCTCTCTTTTATTTCTAGAACCTGGAGAAGGAAAATGGCTCAAGACAGACATTTATTGGATCAGGTCTTGCCACTTGTTTAAGATAGGAAGGGTGTTCCTTCACACCCAGGATAACACTATTATTATTATTATTATTATTATTATTATTATTATTATTAGAGTCAGAGTCTCACTCTGTTGCCCAGGCTAGAGTGCCATGGCATCAACCTAGCTCACAGCAACCTCAAACTCCTGGGCTCAAGCGATCCTCCTGCCTCAGCCTCCCAAGTAGCTGGGACTACAGGCATGCGCCACCATGCCTGGTTAAAATTTTTTCTATATATTTTTAGTTGTCCAATTAATTTCTTTCTATTTTTAGTAGAGACGGGATCTCACTCTTGGTCAGGTTGGTCTCGCACTCCTGACCTTGAGTGCTCCTCCTGCCTCAGCCTCCCAAAGTGCTAACTCTATTATTTTTCCTGAGGAAAAAAGTACCTGTACATTTATATGAATTTATTGAGATGAATACAACTTCAAACTTTCATGTTTCTCTGGATTGATGTGCTAACACTGAACTAAACAAAATAGTGAGACATAATTAACTAGAGCTACTTGCTCGTTGCATATTATATTTAGGAGTTATCTGATCATATAGAGCTCCTTGTGGGCAGGCTCTACGTCTTATTTACTTTTGTTTCCTCAGCACCCAGAACTATGTTTGCCAGACCACAAACACTAAATAAATGCTTGTGATTTATGGACTTAAATAGATTCTTTTCCAGGTTGAAAACTAGTAATTTAATGACCAGTAGAGGGCAATAAAGTTGAAATTTTATTTACCAATTTAAAAAAAATCATTGACCTCCATTTAAACCTATTTTCAGGCCTAGTTCTGGCCTAGAAAGACTTCTCCAGTGTAGCCTCATTTAGTCTCCTGATTTCACTTTAGTGTAGCTACAAACCTTCTGCATCACATTGGAATTCCTGCTTCTGCCCCTATCCCCAATACAATCTACAGGAAGGTGTGCTAAAGAGCCAGACTGGTGTGCGTTGATCTATATACCTTGGCTCTCCCCAGTTGAGTAATTGCTGGCCTAATCAATATCATTCAAGAGTGGATAATCCTTTTCTTTCTTGTTTTTTTTTTTTAAGAGATGAGATCTCATATGTTGCCCAGATTGGTCTCCAACTCCTGGCCTCAAGCAATCCTGCCACCCCAGCCTCCCAAAATGCTGGGATTACAGGTGTGAACCACCATGACTGGCAGCGGTAGGTAATTCTCAAAAGTGAAAGACTACAAGAGAACCACTGGGTAAGATGTGGAGTAAGGTGGTAATTTTGGCTTTAAGCTTTATGTGGTAGGAAACTGTATATATAGTAAGATATCAATTTCATTTAAAAGAATCAGCCTAAGCACATGCCCACATTTATGCATATAAGTAAGATCAGAAGAAAATGCAAGCTGGTTATTATTAGATGGTGGAATAGCAAGCGGTTTTTATCTTACACGTACTTTCTTATATTATTCAGATTTTCACAGTGAGCATCATTCACTGTTAAGTAGCCCCCCCACCGGTGCCTTAGAGATGAGGAAGGAAGCATGGCTAACTGTCCCGAAACTAACTTGAGCAAGGCCTGACTTCTCTTTGCTGGCCTCCCCACAGTGAGTTGGAGAAAGAGGAAGCCCACTGGCAGCGCCGCAGGACACTCCACCGACTTCGCTCGGCTCACTTAGGCCACGAGCTCCAGGGCCACGGGCACACGCTGCCCACGCCTTTCTGTGCCTGTGCGGGAGCCGGCAAGTTACAGCAGCTCTAAGGAGGGGGCTTCTCCCACATTCCATGTTTTGGTATTGCGTTTCTCAGTCTCTATAAAGCCCTGAATCTTCTCCCATGTTATTTTTAGTCATCCTTGCAGGGGGGAAAAAGTCAATGAGGGCTTCTGGCATGTCAGCTTTTCATAAAGGGAATGCAGAGCAGGGCTCCCAGCAAGCCTCATAAAACACAGGGCTTATGTGAGAACTTTCATCTACGTCCATTCAAAATGTTCCCTGCCAGGCAACTGAGAGGAGGTGGGAATCATGGTTTGGGAAGGCCTTACTTTAAGGACTGGAGACAGTGGCTCAAATGTTGCTTCAGCTCTTCCTCCTTTTCGTAGGACTCCAGGACACTGTGCGCTTCATCGTGGTGATAGCAGTAGATTTTATAGGTATCTTCCAGGGGCCCTTTGATCTGCAAGAATACTTCTCCTGATAAATGCGAAACAAAGGCAAAATGACATGAAGTCAGACCAAACTGCACGTCACACGTTTACTGCTTAACAACGTTGACTAGTGTCAGAAAGTTGGCTGGGTCCCGCTTCATTCCCAGGTTGTTCGGGAGTGGTGGAAAAGGTCGAGTGATATTTTCTTTTCTTTCTTTCCTTTTTCTTCTCTGCCTCCCTTCCTTCTTTGCTCTTTCCCTTTTTCATTCTTTCTTTCCTTTTAATAAAACAAAGGATGTAGAACTTAACAGAGACAGGCAGCAGAAGGAAGCCGGTTTTCTCAAAGGCGACTTTGTACCGGGCTGGTGCAGGACTGTGGGCAGAGCCGCAGCTGAGAGTGCGCCTGCGTGGATTTGCGTCAGGCTGCGCTACAGACTGGCCTTGTGACTTGGGCAAGTTATTTTAGCTCTGACCCTGCTTCCTCATCTATGACAATAATAAATTCAATTTCATAGGATCATTGTAAAAATTAAAAGAGGTAGTGTATGTAAAGTTTAGAGCACAGTATGTTTGTAATAAATGCTCAAAATGAAGCAGTTTTTGTTCATTTATCGGAGGTGAAATTTGAGGTTCTAGATAAGTTATTTCTCAATATTTATGCCACTAGCATTTCCTGAGGTTATTTGAGAGGCAAGCAATGGAGTTTAGAGAAATAAAATATTTTCTTACATGTGATAACAAGAATAGGCCATTATTCCTTTTAAAAAGCAACTGGATAATACTATGAACCACAATTATGACTGTATCTTCATAAAGCAACTTGGGCTGTGTCTAGGCGTTTAATATCCTTTTTCAAATCATTATAAAATTGGATCTATAATTGGTGGTTCAAGTAGATATTGGACAATAGTTTGCTTTAATCACTCACTCCATCACTTAGAGATGAGTATGAGCATCCACTACCCAACCCAGCACATCTTAGATGATTGGGAGACGCAGAAGAAAACCATTGCAAAGTTTAAATTGATCATGATTTGGGGGCTGAATTAATTGGGATGGCTGAATTGATTGACAGTGATGTGGACCTATTAATCTGGACCTATGATAGTAACAGAAATGAGTCATCTTCCTACAGAAAGTGAAGCGTCCTTAGTATTTTCAACACGTTTTGCACATATTAACTGCTTAGCACCCGGTGTGCATGAAGAGATACAAGGTTATTTACCTATGTTAGTTAAGGATGAACAATTGTCACTTGGCTCGTCACAGTCCGCTTTCCTATCTCTAGACTCAAAACACTGGTATTTTTAAAGTGTCACATTCTTTTCTAACTTATATCCAGCCAATAATAAACTTTCTTTTCCTTTTCAATGGATGGAATTTTCCTGTGATTGTATTTTAGATTTTGAGGGAATGTAAGTAATGTGTGTGTGTCTGTTAGGGTTTTTGTTTGCTTGTCTGTTTCAGTAGTGCTTTTGGGGCCAGTAAGAAACTCAAGGTGTGATCATCTTTGGAGCTAAAGGGATGAGAGATTCTTGTTTTGTTTCTGGGACTTTACAGAGTTGATCCTTCTACTGGTGTAGGTCTTCTAGATTTGCCCTTCAAGATGGTTAGCAACACAAACAGTAAGAGAAACAGTAGTTAACAGGAAGAGAAAACAAACTAGGACAGTGGCCAGATCTAGGTTGGGCACAAGAGGAAGGGGACAGGACCCCCAGGAGCAGAATTGGGCAGCGAACAGCAGCGGGGGAGGGGGGTGGCCAGGGAGGGAGGGAGGGAAGAGGGAAGGCCCAGAGGAGGGAGTGGCCGGCCTAGGAGTACTCACAGCAAGTTGAGAGGAGCCCATCTGAGCACAGGCAGCCAGTGCAAGACTAAGTCATAAATATGCATGCTCACTACAAAGGAGCCAAGAGACCAACCTCACAAATCCACAGTTGGATCAACTCAGAAAGTCGAAACACAAAAAAGAACTAAGACACTTACTTTACACACAATAAAACCATTCATTGCAAATTTCCTTGTATTTCTTTAACAGAAGTGCTCCAGTTTGAAGGGATTTATAACTCTTTCCTTTCAACAGAATCAGGTTTTTTTATTCTTTTCCAAGTAAAATTCTGTTGGGTGTCTAATAATTATTATTAAATTTAAATGATATTTAAATATTCGAATTGAAAGTCATTTATTCACCCATAGGCCAAATATAACACTGGTGGGTAGAATATTTGATGCCCCTCCAAGCACTACCAACGTATTCTGCTTTATAATAGGGCAGATGATGTGATGTGTCTTGCAGCAAAAATCGATTCTGTTTCCATGGTAACGTAACTGGCCTGCGTTTCTTCATCGGTGAAGGACAACTGCTCTAACGTCTTGGGTTGAAGGGGACCATTAGGAGCGGAGAAGGGACAAAGCCCAGACCAGTGAAGGTAATTCCACTTGTGGCCGCCTGTCACAAAGGCACCAGAATCCTATAAAATAAATACGACTACTGTGCTCTTTCATAAAAAATTTCCACAACCCAAGAACGACTTCACTGGCTTCCACAAAAAGCAATTGCCATGCAAAGGAGGGAAAAAAATATGCACCTCTTAAAATTTCATTAGTTATCTTCTTTAAAGCAATTCCTCGAAATACTTATTTTATGTGCGGTATCACCACTTCTATGTTGCAAATCGCCCCCTTTGCTGATGGAAACAGAGCCACGCTCCTTTTCCTGACCTACACCTCTTCCGGACCTTCACATCCGTGCCCGGGTGTGCCGTACCAAACCCCATGGCCTATGTACAGTTTTATTTTGACCCCACTCCAAGACAAATGTCCCCTATCGGTAAGTAAACCAGGGTGAAATCAAAGATATGCAAGGGATCTCCTTGTCACAGGCTTTAAGAAAACGGCATCCACGGGAATGAAGTATTACATTCATTAGTTCGTCCTTATTTGACAATAATTTCCTGAGTGGCCGTTAAACAGCAAGCACTTTGGTGGGCGCCGCAGGTCCCAAGAACCAACACTTGCCTCGAAGAAGCCCTCTAGGCCAGCAGGGCGAGAAGGGCCACGCTGCTTCTGCTGCGCTGCGTGGAAAGCGCCACAGAAAAGCCGCAGGGCCAGACGCGTCTGCCCGGCCGTCAGCAGCCAGCCGCTCGCCGCAGGCCGGCGGGAAGCGGGGCGGGCGCGCAGCTGCGCGGGCTGGGCGAGGGCGCAGGCTGGCGCGGGGGGGCTGGCGCGGGGCGCAGGTGGGCGCGGCTGGCGCGGGGCTGGCGGCCAGGCTGGGCGCGGGGCTGGGCGCGGGGCCAGGCTGGCCGGCGGGGCCGGGGGGAGGGGGCTGGGCGCGGGCGGCGGGCGCGGGCGGGGCGGGGCGCGGGGCGCAGGGCGGGCGGGGGAGGGCTGGCGCGGGCGGGGGCTGGGCGCGGACGGGGAGGGGCTGGGCCGGGCGCAGGCTGCGCGGGGCGCAGGGCTGGCGCGGGGCTGGGCGCGGGGCGCCGGGGCTGGCCGCGGGCGCGGGGCTGGCGCGGGGCGCGGGGCTGGGCCGCGGGGCTGGGCGCGGGGCTGGGCGCGGGGGCTGGCGCGGGCCACCTGGGCGCGGGCTGCGCGGGGTGCGCGGGGCGCGGGGCTGGCGCGGGGGCTGGCGCGGGGGCTGGGCGCGGGCGCAGGCTGGCGCGGGGCTGCGGGCGGCCGCAGGGCTGGCGCGGGCTGGCGCGGGCGCGGGGGCTGGCCGGGCGCGGGGCATGGGCGCGGGGCGCCGGGGCTGGCGGGGGCTGGGCGCGGGGCTGGCGCTGGGCGCCAGGGCTGGGCGCGGGCGGGCGCGGGCGCAGGCTGGGCGCGGGCGCAGGGCTGGCCGGGGCTGGGCCGGGGCCAGGCTGCGCGGGCTGGGCGCGGGGCCAGGCTGGCGCGGGGCGGGGAGGGGCTGGCGCGGGCGGGCGGGGCGCGGGCGCAGGGCGGGCGGGGGAGGGGGGCTGGGCGCGGGGCGGGCTTGGCGCGGACGGGGGAGGGCTGGCCGCGGGACGGGGGCCTGGGCCCGCGGGACGGGGGAGGTGGGGATTGGAGCGGCCGGGGCGCAGGGTTGGGTTGGGGGCGGAGGGCTGGCCGCGGGCGGGACTGGGCGGGGGGCGGGTCCTGCTGGAGCCGGAGCGGCGGGCGGGGCGGCAGCACGTCCGGGTCGGAGGGAGGCGGGGAGCTCGGGAGAGGCCGGGCGCAGGGCGGGTCGTGCGGGGCGTCAGGGAGTCGGGACTTTGGCCGGGGCCCGCGGGGCGGCGCTGGCGGGCCGGGAGGCGCTGGCGGGCCCGCGGGAGCGCTGGGGGAGCCCGGGGGAGGCGCTGCGGCAGCGGCCCGGCGGAACAGCTCCGCGAAGAAGGGTGGCGGGAAGAAAGGCCTGGCGCCCTCAGCGAGGTGGCGAGCGACAGTCCCCGGTGCGACGGGTGGGCTTAGAAACCGGGTCCTTTGGGCACCAGAGAGGTCCGGAAATTTGCCGTGAAGAAGGAGACGGGCACTCGGGGCGTGCGCGTTGATACCCGGCTCGACAGAGCCGTGTGGGCCGCAGGAATAAGGAGTGTCCCTCCCCATGTCTGTGTGCAGCTGTCCAGAAAACATCATGAGGGTGAAGAGTCACCAAGCAGGCTCTGTACCTGGGCCATCTGCCTGTTACCACTTGCAAAAATCGACAGTGGATGAGAATTAACTGCTGATCATCAAAGTTACAGAACCACCACCAAAAAAAAGATTGGTTATTCGTATGAAAGATGAAACTGGGGGGAGGATTTAGTAAGACTGTAGAAGAGAAACCAATAGAAAGGCTTCTGTAATTCTATAATAATAAAAGAAATAAACAATGAGGGCTTAAAACAGGAAGTTACAGCAATTAAGAGAATGTACGCTAAGGTCGACCGCCTGGTTTCAAATCCTGGTTTTACAATTACTTGATGTGTGAAAATTGGGAAAGTTACTTGACTTCTCTGTTCCTTGATTTTCTCATCTATGTACTGAGAATAATTATAATACTAGGGTTGTCTGAAGATTAAATGAGTTAAAATATGTAATGTATTTGTGTAA